AAATTCTACCTGAAAGTTTAAGGTGCCATGAACATGAGTAGTGTCCTAGCGAGTTTTTTGTCTTTGCTTTGAAATTAATGCCAGCATGATTTTTAAGAAGGATTTGTTAGTTGTCTTAATTGTTTTCTGGAAAGCCAGTCTTATATTTAAATGATTTCTGTACTTTATTGCACCATACTTACCATTTACATAAAATAAAATTTGTAACTCGATGCTGCTTACTAATGATGATGGTGTCACTCAGAGGGCACAGTACAGTGCTGGGAAGTTCTGTCTTGTCTGTAGAGGATGATTTGGCTCAGATTTGCACCCTCTAGATTTCATTGGAACACTGGGAAAGGTGGAACCTGGCCTGGGATGGCTTTGCACAGTGCAGCCCTAAATGTCAGTATTGAGTGGGTTTTGAAGATCAAAACATAGCAAAATACTCCTATAAAATAATTCAAGAAGGAAAATACTAACTCTTGCTGAAGTCTAGAAAGCTACTTTAGCTATATTGGTTCTTTATTTTATTTTATTGCACTGCAAGTGAAGCAGAGCTTTGAGACACAAAATATGGCAAGGAAATGGATGGCAGAAGCAATACAGATCTGATGGGGTGTTGTGGCTTATAGTTACCACACATGGGTCTCAGTTATGCCTTAGCCCCACTTGTTATATATATATATTTTTTTTTTTTTACATAAATATGTCAAAACTTGGTTGAAGTGAAGGCACTAGGATTCATTAGGCTTTCTGAAGTCCTTGAGGAAATATACTTGAGCTTTATTGCAGTTTTCCTGTTGCCTCAGTCTTGAGCATGACAAGTCATGGTGATGCTAATCAAATCAGATGGTGATCAGTCCATACTGAAGGGGAGGTTGCAGTGCTGGGGAGACCCTTGCACCTGCAATTTTTTCTTGTCACATTTTAAAGACTTAATAAAAGAGAACCACTTAAATATCTACCAGACTGCTTTGTGATTGTTGAGCATTTGACCCCCCTGATTCTGCATTCCAATCTGGCATTATGAGATGCAAATTGGGAATAAATTTTAATTTCCTTAGTTTGACACAGGCATTAAAAGTGGTTGGTTAGCCCATGTCCCACCCCTTTGGCCAGGTAGAGAAGTGTAGGAAAAAAATCTAAGAACAGAGCAAAGCTGAATCCTCACAGTTTCCAGTGGCTGAGGGTTCAGGGAGTCCCCAGCCCACCCCTCTAACTCGGGGGTCAGTAGTCACTGAGGCCCACACTGCAGTGTGTGTTACTCACCTATTAAGTATGTCTGTATTTAAATATTTAAATACTTTCTGAATACGTAGCAGCCTGTGGCTGAGTTCCAGAACTTTTTTTGTGACAATAGTACTTCCTTAATCTTATCTTTTTTTTTTTTTTTTTAATTTGATGCTTTTAAATGTCTGTGTTATGAGAAGTGGTAAATTATTGTTCTCTGTTCATGTTCTCCATGACATTCATGGTTTCCTGTGTCTGTCATAGCTGTTACCTCTTCCAGGCCTGGAATATTTTAGGTTATTAAATCTTCTTCTTGAGAAGCTGTTTTATCATACCTCTGCTTGTACATTTTTTCCTTTCGTTATTCTTAGCATACTTCTTTTTTTTTTTTAACTACTAATACAGTGCAAATTCTATTAGGCTTAGAAATGGAGAGTGAAAACCAATATTAAATCCTTGTCTGTGCCTAACATGAGCACTTGTTCAGCCACTAAACTTTTAAACTCTGAAGATGGAAACAATGCTTTTGTTCTTAAAGCAGGCATTTGTAGCAGTGTACAAATCTATGTCCTTTGGAATACATCTGAACACCAACTGAATGGTTTTTCCTTACATTAGTAGATGTGGTGGATCAGTATGTAGGATAAAAAACATCATATTTAAAACCAGACATCTTGCATGCTTTGCACAACTGCAGTGTGAGAGGCCTCTGTTTGATCTCACAAAGTGGTCAGTCTGGTTATTGTAACTGAATTTGAGCTATGTCAGAGAAGCAAGAATTAATATAAAAGTAAGAAAAAACAACTCCACTGCAATGTCTCAGAAGGAGACGAAGCATTATATGACAAAAGTAAACTTAGAAATGCTGCCACCTGATGAGGAAAGTAAAAGAAGGGTAACTCAAGGAAATGCTGAGGTATTTTATGGAAGAAAGGATCTTTTCCAGTATTGTAACAGTATTCTTCCTTATAATAGCACTGAGTTTATCAGGGCATTATTTTATTTGTGCTTCCCTGTTTCAGTTCAAATATCAATGAAGTTTGGGTTATGCTCTTCTGTTTGTTTTCTTTTTAAAAAATCCTAATTATTTGAATTTGTTGAGGAGTCAGGTCTAATCAGGCAAAAATTCTGTCAGTTCTTTGAGATATCTTCAGCAGTCCTAAGATTTCTTTCCAGAGATAAAATTCATGGGGAATTACCTAATTTGCTGTGTGGTTCAATGAATTTTTCTGCTGACATGAGAAGCTGTCCCACTGTCACCCTTATAAGTAAAGCAGCGGTGTGTTTACTGGTGCCATAACTTGATAACCACTTAATGTGAAAATATGAGTCAGCTTTCTTTTTATGAACTATACTTTCTCTTCCACAGAAGACAATTATCTTCCTCCAGAAAGTTTAAATTGGTCTTTTTAAAGCAGTCTTTTCAGTTGAAAATAAATAGCACTAATATAGTTGGTGACTGGGGAATTGCTAAATAAGTCCTACAGATTTGGCACCCTTTCTTCTTTTCCTTTCTTCTTTTTCCAGGCTTGTTTCATTTGCCACTTTGTTCTAACATTTACACAGATCCTCAGCTGTGCCTGCCCTCTGTGATGCCAGGCTACCATTGCTCCTCAGCACTTGAGCATGCTCCAAACTTGTGATATCCTGCAATGCCTTTGGACAGTGATGGCCTTAGATGAAGTGCAGTAGATGCCTATCTGGGTTCTGATTTGTGCACTGTGTTTGTACTCAAAGGGCTGAGCAGTTCTAGTGTTGTGGTGTTATGAAACTTGAATGTTGCTACACCGGGGCTCACAGAGCTGCGCTTGCAAAGCGCATCTGCTGCAGAGTGCTGGTTCATTCCTCTGCAGCAGGTAACCTCTCCTCTGCAGCAGGTAACCTTGGTGCTGCTCTGTCCCTGTCCCTGCACTGGAGCTGTGGGCATTTCCTGAGTCACCATCTCCTCTCTGGAACAGTTTAAAAAGTGTAGTGGGTAGTGTCAGCATCTTGCAGTTTCTCAAAGCTTTTAATGCGCTGTTTGACTTACAGCGTGCCTTCAGCTGGATCAGGGTAATGACCCAATTAAGTGTATGGAGAGAGGTTTTTACAATGACTTTTAAGTGTGATGAAAAGTGGAGAAAGGCTGTTTACATTTAAGGCCATTACAGAAGGTCAGTTGAGCAGTTTCATACTTGCCAAGGAACCTCGTGTGTTTGGTTTGAGACTCTCTCGTCTTGCTCATCCTTCCCCCGCAGCAGGAGCAGTGGGAGGTGGTTGTGGGCCAGGAGACACTGGGATTGTAATGTAGCTCTGGATATTCTGCTTCACTTAGAGAAGCTGCTTCTTAGTGCTGTACCTTTCCCAGCTCTACCTTTTCCAGGGCCAGATTCCCATGTCTTTCCTGCAGTGGGTACATTTTTTCAGAGCTATGTGTCTGTTACATGGCTGTGCAGGTTTGTGCAAGGTGCTGTCACCCACTACATGACCTGGTGAGTGGAGCTTTACTCTCTGAGGTGGGGAGGGCTGAGCTATGTACCTGCAGGCTGAGGTGTCTGTGTTAATTTCCTGTTCTTGTGTTACTGGAGAAGCAGTAGTTTCCCTGCCCCTCTCTTGGAACTTCTTTGCTGGTAAGGTGCAGGGTGATACTACATTTCCCTCGTCCCTCCTCAAGACTTAGGACTTTTTATGATGTTGTTCTGCTTGATGCATTATTCCAACCTTTTTCTATAGTCAGCAGCTTCTTAAAGCTGCTGTAGCTGAATCCTTTCTAGATAAGAGTTTTTAAACAACAGAAGAGGCGAGGTGATGTCATTCCTTTTCACACAGCTATTCAGAGCTCTGTTGGAAGCAATGAAAGCTGGTTGGTTTTCTGCTTCTGAAATAGAGATGAGCTGAGAAGCAGTAGAAATAGCAGTAGAAATATTCAAGCAGTCCATGTATAGTCCTGTGAAAATGTTGCTGTGTTAGTCATGATGCCTGTTTTTCTATTGCCAGCTGGAAGAACATGGAAATTATGGCGTTACCACAAGAAGAATTAGTTTTGGTCTTTGAGAATTCATTCACTTTGGTCAATGACAGTACATTTTCTTGGTCAAAATAAAGTCTTTGCATTCCTAAGCCTTGAAGTTTTTGTATTCTTGTTTTTTTCTTCCATTTACAGCTGTGTGCAGAGCTACTGTTCATAATAGATGTGTAAGCAAGTCTAATTCACAACATGCATAGTAAAATGATGTAAGCAAAATGGTGAATAAATAAATGAATTTTTTTTTCTTTTAAAATATCTGCATAAGGCACACAAAAGCATGCTAATTTGCAAATATCTTTCAAGTTTCTGAGACCTGAAATGTGAAAACAAATTAGTCAAATGTAGTGTATTTCTATTGACAGCAGCCTTTCTTGTTTTCTCAGGCTGCCCTTTTAAATGTTGCCCCACTGGCTGCAGGCATGACTACAAGCCCCACTTGTTCTTGGGAAACAATGCAGCTTTACTGCACATCTTCATATGAAAAGCTTCATGCTCCTCCTGTATCATCCCCCATGTACTTCATCATGAGCTCTTGACCACACAGGGTGCATCAATCACATAGTAATGTTGGGGGAATACAGAAGGAGCCAAGACTCAGACTGCAGTTCATCAATATGGCAGTTGATCACTGAATACTCCTTAGTAACTTATTTTATGGATTTGTGAAATTAAACTGTTTGAAAACTGTATTTCTCTGACCATGCTTTTGTGTGAGTATTGATCTCTTTAAATATTGTATTTTTCTGACCATGCTCCTGTTAAAGATATCTTAATTTTTCAGGTTGCAGTTGTTAAAATGAAGTGTACAGAGCGCATTTATGCAATGAAAATTCTAAATAAATGGGAAATGCTTAAAAGGGCAGAGGTAAGTAATACTGTTTTTTAACACAGAGAATTTTTAAAATTACATTAGGAAGATTACATTGAAACTCTTCCAGATCAGGAAGAATTATTTCATGAGCATAGGAGCTTCGTTCTTTTCTCTTTTTTTCCCCTTAAGCTGTTTTAATGCAATCAAGTCTGACAGTCCCTTCCAGGCATCTGTTGTTCTCAGCATTACTGTGTATTCATTTACCAGACAGTCTGCCCTATTTCTTACCCGAATTTATTGGCTAGATTTTTGTTTACAGTAAAGGCAAGTTAAAGACTACATGAAAGCTGAGATTGGTGCTACTATGACATTCACAGCTGTATACAAAAATGTTATGAAAACGGTCTTTCTTCTCTTCATTCAGAAACATCCATTAAGGAGCTTTGCATCCTACAGTATGTAACAGGATTTATATAGCTAGTAAAACTATAACTAAATATTTTGGGATCAGATTCAGATTGTAAAACAAAACGTGTTAAGAAGGTAACATCTGTTTAAGAAGGGGTGTTTTGGAGAAAGGAGGTGTACACTGTCACAACAAATTCTGTAAATGTAAATTCACACATTAGGAAAAGAATACTAAGAATACACAGTGGGAAGAGCTTTCTAGGATAGGTATTTCTAGGATACATACTCCTCCATGGTAGAGGAAAACCTTATGGCACATACATAATATTATGTAAGTTAGCAGATAAATGAGCAGTAGATTTGAAGAGAAAAGACATGTATTGCATCAGGACTTGCAGCAGTTCTGTTAAGGGGCAAGCAGGAGTGGCTTTGCTGAGGTCTGAGCTTGCTGACCCTTCCCTGTCCCATTCTTCTCTCCCCTTCCTGACACCTCCTCCCCCCAGCCTGCCCTTCCTAGTCCCTCCCTTCCTTTCAGTGAGTCAGTGCCAGGCCTTTTCCTGTGACAGAATCTCCTCCCTCTTATTAAGCCCCTCTTCACCACTGCCTTTTGCTTGATTTAGTCACAGTCTGTCCATCCATCCATCCATGCAGCGCTTTAGAGGCGGCAGCAGCCGCTGCCACCCGGCTCTCCTTTGAGCTGACAGGAGATTTCACACCCTGGGATGTGCTGCATCAGCAGTTTTGCATTAAGCCTTTCCCTGGAGGAGGGAAATTTGGTGCCCTTTCTATGCAGATTTCAGCTGTGTTAATTCATTGGTCTGTATAGAATTGTTTTAAACACAAATACTTGCAGGGGTCTCCCAAACTCAAATGGAAATACAGCTATGCTGCCTTACTTCGGTCATTTTTAAAGTGATTTCATTAAGTGGCCTAAGTAGGTGCAGCTTTTGCATGTAGAGAAGACAGCTGTTTACAGATTGTGTTCTAATCATGCAACTAACTCGTCTTATCCTCTCAGGCAGGCATAAAGGATGTATAATGAGCAATAGTTTTCCCAAGACAAACTTAGGAAAAGTAACAGTCAAAAAAATGTTTCTCTCTGCTGATTTTCCCCATCTACAAAGGACAATAAAGGAACTGTCTTCTCTGCAGAACTACTTTGTCTTTTCCTGATCAGTTTGCTTGCTTGATTTGACTTTTCTGGATAAGCAGGACATTGCATCCTGCATATAAAGTTCATGCAGCATCTGGGTGTTAAAAATTTCCCAAATGTGGTAAAACCTGTTCGTTTTTAAAATGAAGCCTGCAAGAATACAGTAGCCTCTTAAAGGGAGAGTTCCACTGAAAAAGCAGACTTCAAGTATTTTATTAAACCACCTCACCTATTATTATATAAAAATATTATCATTATTATTATGAGTGGGTTAGGAAGCATGTTGTTACACTGCTTTATGTTTGTTGTGCATGACATAAAACATAGCAAGAAGTTAGCTTATTCATGTACTAGCTGCAAGAAAAAAATCCCATATGGTTGGAAGCCACTAAAATAAAATAAAGATTAGTGAATATCACCTGACATCCGTAAATGGGTTAGAAGCAAAAATAGGCATGCCATTTATGTTGATAAGGACCATTTGTATGCGTTGTTCTCACAGCAAAATACAAAGTCATTAGTGTATTACTGTTGACAGTTCCAAATAAGTCCTGACTGGCTGATTAGGTAGCCTGTCATGCTTTTTCAAGTCACGTCTCAAGGCCTTTTAAGCTGGTGTAAGCAGAGGAGGAGAATTTTATGCTCTGAATTCAAAATGCAGTGTTCAGCAGCATTGCTGGGTTTTCAGTGTTCATAACATTCCCTCGCTATTTGAGGTTGCACAGTGAACTGGATCAAGGGACTGATGTCTTCAAAAATAAACAAACTAGTTCTGTGTGTTGGCAGCCTCCTCACATCGTGGTGCCAGGAGAGCTGAGAAGTGCAATGCTCTGCTGCTGTGGGAAGGGGATAGGATTACTTGGAGCTGCTGGAGCTGCCAGCCTTTTTTGCAGAGCGCTGCTTTGGCCTTGAATTCATAAACCGTTAAACCACTCAGTTGGCATTTAATTACAATTTACTTCTCTTTGCACCAGTGATTACTAATTTACAATGTGACCACAGCATGGTCTTCTTCAGTAAAATTGTAGATTGAATTTGGCTTCCTTTGAAGGGAAAATAGTTGGAGATACATTTGTAAGGTGCAGTCAGTATATGGTAAGGCTTGGGCTTCCCAGGCACATTTCCATAGTACATTTTCTAAGACATCTGAAGAAGTGACAATGACTAAAAAAAAAAAAATTAGTTCTTTTCTAGAACACAAACACCTCAATCTGTAGCTGGCATCTGATAATGCCTCTCTGGATTGAGAGTAGTAGAAGAGTCCCAAGGTCTGTTGCATGATAATTCTGATCCAATAAAAACATTAATATATTTTTATTGGGGAGAACTCTCTTGAAGTTTATGAAAGTTGGTTTTATGTAAAGATGCTGAGAAAACCTGTTACACAGAGCTTGCTTCTATGAAGTGTTGCAGTGTGCTGTTTGAAGTTGGGGAAGGATTATTGAAAATAAAAATATATTATACTGGACAAAGATAAGACAGTAATAGTAAAATCTGCTTATTTCCCATAGTGTATTAGCAGTGTCTGGAACTGGGACTGTACTGTAAAAAAAGTATACATGAAACTGTTTTCATAAAAGTCTTTATCAGAAGAATCAGACTTACTTTCCTAGAGCCATTATCTTTCTGCTACAGATGGTAGTGACAAGTTACTATTTTCTGACTTTTAAAAATGTTTTATAAAACAGAGATTTAGCTTTGACTTGAGTTGGCTTGTGGGCTTTTTGGTGTTGTGGTGTTGTGTGTTGGTGCGGAGTTTTTTGGGATTTGTTGGGGGGAGGGGAGGTTGGGGGGGGTTTTCATTTGGTTTGGGGTTTTTTGGTTTGGTTTGGTTTTGTTTTTTAAAGTCGCAGTCAGGATTAGAGTGACTGAATGCCTGCCTAAAACCTGCAGAGATTCCCTGGCATGTCACTTGTGTAGACTGAATCCTGATGAATAGAGACCTCTGTTCAGTAATTTGAAATAATCCCATAAAACATCCATATATATTCATCCTGTGGAAACTACTTGTTGTTGTTGACAATGGCTTTTCTCCCCCTCTCTTCCTTTAGACAGCTTGCTTCCGAGAGGAGAGAAATGTCTTGGTGAATGGAGATTGTCAGTGGATTACTACATTGCACTATGCCTTTCAAGATGAGAACTATTTGGTATGTTTGATTCATCAGTAAATAAAAGCTCTGGGTTGTGAAAGAACTTTATTTTTGGTATATTTAAAAAATATTAGTGCATTAAATCTGTCCACCTCATGCCTCACAGCAGTGTTTCAACATTCTTGTTTTCTCCTTGAAGCAAAACTTCAAAGGGACTGACTGTAACTCCAGGAGAGTGAGAAAGTTGTGAAGACTGTAGTATATAGAGATTTAGTTAAGCATCTTAAATTAACTAATCTCTCTTTGCATAAAAAATACCATGTTCAAATTTAGTATTTTGGATAAGGTTGCAGTTAAGTAATCTGAGATGTGTTAACTCTGTGGAAGTAAGAAATATTTTATTTTAAACTTTAATAATGTCTTTTAAAGCAAGATTTTGTTTTAAACAGGCAAAAGTAATTTAAAAGTTTGGTGTTTTAAAATCCTTAGGGGAAAACATAGCCTATTTCTTGAAAGTATTCCTATAAAATATGTCTTTAAATCAGCAGATTGGTCATCTCAGTAATTTGAGAGACTTTAGCAAATACTTATAAAATCTGTACTCCTATGACATTTCTTTATGATTGGTTACTACAACTGTGACATACAAACCTGTTTACTTCAGTCACAGAATACAGCAGAGTCCTGGTTAGGAGCAAAGTCAGTAAAGCCCCAATATTCTGCAATATACTGAACCATGCAGCTTCCTTGTGGCTGCTTCAGGCTGGGTTTGCAAACCTGCTGTTTCTGTAACATCTGACATAGCTGGAGTGTGAAAGTTTCCACCTTCTTAATACTTTAGTAGCATGATAGCAAATCATGACTATGAATAAGAAAAAATGTATTTATAAAAGGCTGCCAAGGAGTTCAGCAGGAGTTAGTAAATACTCAGACATTTCCACGGATGCTGAGAAAAAACACATTCGTATGTCATGTTTGGAGTATTTTTAGAATAACAAGCACATAGTAGGAAAATAAGCAGTCACATCTTAGGCCCTCATTTACAGGCTAATTTCCATTGAATGATTTGTGATAGGTCCAGATTTTCAATCTCTGGCAGTTTAGTTGTCTCTAGCACTGCCTCATGATTTCACATCAGCTTGTAGCTTCAAATTCTCACAGAAGCAACCTTCAGACTTGCATAAAAACATTCTGTTCTGTATTTCCAAGTAGCTTGTAAGAATGGAGCTACCTAAGGAAAAATTGTTAGCTGTGTGAGATAACAAGCAAGAGCAAAGACAGCACAGAGGGGGAATCTTTTCCCAAAGTTCCCAGAGGTTTTTAGATATTGAAGTTTCACTTGACAGCAGAAGGTAGACATCTCATTTAAGATCCAGTATCTAAGAAGGCAACAGTTCTGCCTAGCAGCCAAAGTCAGCAGATTCCCAGCTTGCCTGAGGTCTGCTCCTGCATGTGCTGAGGTGCTGCCTTCCAATTTGGTCTGTTACTCAGAAACCATCTCCTGGAAGTGTCTGTGCTCACAGATGGAGTGGATCCACATCTCAGTCACCATTGTAAATGATGCATGAAGAAAAGGTGAAACACATCAAGAAATCAATTCATCCAAAAAGCTGGACAGAAGGTTCTCTTCCATCCCATCTAGTACTTGTCCAGGGCCTAAGAGACCTCTGTTCAATTCTCTTTGGAGCTTGAAGATGTTTATAGCTACATTCTTCCTCATCATGGAGAGTGCTGCCTTGTTACAGAGCCTGGGCAGATTTTGTTTACTTTTTAGCTGTGCTCTTCATCCACGGTCCTTGCAGAATGGAATACAAAGCTGAGAACAAAGCAAGAACACACAACAGAACTTGGTTTTCCAACCTAGTCATCTGTAAGAGAAATCTCTAGGTTTCAGTATTTTCTCCCAGTGATGTTTGTGCATTATATCTAATGATTCTTTATTGCAAAGCCACATAAGCTAACTCTGAGCAGAGGGAGAGCCTTGTGTTTTCTCCCACCTAGTTCTCTGTCTCCTCTGGCTGCATGATAAAGGGTTCAGAATGAGACAAAGAAAAAGTAAGATACTAACATAGAAAAGTAGTACCTGCCTTTGGAGAGTCTAAAAGTACTTAGTTTTATTCTCTGCCTTTAGTATTAACAGAGCATTTGATAAAGCAGAACTTCTATTTAAGCAAGAAATACAAAATTCTATTAAATACATATGTTCTGGAGTTCATTTTCTGGTTCTGCTCTTGTGGTTTTAAAATCTTTCAAGTTAATGCATCATTCATTACTGTTTTCTAATCAGCCAATTCTTAAATGACATTACATGGAAATGCTGCATAACTTTCTTCTGGTTCTTAAAAAGCTTTCATAAGAGACAGCCTATGTCAAGATGGGTTAAATCAGCCTTTGGTGATTTAGCTGAAGCAGATATGATGTAAGTGAAACATAGTCCATGAATATTGAGAACTTGCATGGAACTTGACCTTCTCCATCTCTTCCTTCCCGATCTCTTAATTTTCTTTCCCAGTCTCATTCATGAAAAAGGGCATATGTGTATTTCCCTGCTGTCAGCCTCTCAAAGGCTTCTGGGTACTCATGAGAGTATTTTGATATCTTTTTTTCCTTTGATTCCTAACTACTCTGACCGTTCAATGTAGTCACTTCCCTGGAAGAAATGCACTACTGTGAGATTTCAACATCAGAATAGCTTTTATTTTAACCCCATAAGAAAAGAGAAGCACCTCCTGGCAAGCAGATAATTTTGAATTGAAAGATTAATAAAGTTCTGCTTCCTCAAAGATGAGATACCAGCATCTTTCTGTGATCCAAGTGCCTTCCTTCATGGGTCACCTGGGTTCTTGCTGAGTTATAAATGCTTTGGGAGCTGACAGAAGTGCATTACCCTGTCTCTGACAGAGAAGATATTTCACTTTCCACAGAAGGTTCTATAAAGCCTCTTTGCCTTGAATTTGAGAGAAAATACTTCAAGATAATATCCCTTTTAGAAGACTGATGGTTTTCTGCCTGTAGCATTTTGTTTTCAAACATAAGTGTCAAGTGTGTACAGTGCTCAGTACATGTTTAAAGTTCCTTGGAGCAATACCCACAGACTGATTTCAACATAAATGATGCAATTTGCTTATCAGATTAAGCAGTAATTTGAATAAAATAGAGAAAAATATCAAAACTTGTGGCTTTTGGAGTTGCTCTTTTAATCCAAAAGATAGTGAGGAATGGCTATTATTGCACTTCATGTTCTTTGCATTTCTATCTTAAATTTGTTTCCCTCATGGAAGATGAATCTGTGGCAGGAACAGTGGATTCTAGGTCGCTTTACTTTGAGGAGAAAAATAAGATGATGGCTTTGAAAAGTTAATTCCAGAATAAGCCAAGTTAGTCTTAAAACCACATATCAAATCATCTTGGGAAGCATGGCTCAAGACTGGTGGTACTAGATGAAGTCATTATACTTGAAGTGATGGTCTGGATTTAGGTGGATATTGCTAAGAAATACCTCAAACATAATCCTTGTTTTGTGGTATGAGAAACAAATGGCATGCCTGAGTCCTTTTCCTTCATGTATCCTATCAGTATTGGTCCTTTCCATGGATGGGATGGTGCCTGATTGGCCTAGGAGGCTGTTTACTTTTTCACTGAAATACATTCAAAAGCACACCAATGTTTGACTGTTAAATTTCCCACTCTAGTGCCTCTGGCTTGACAGTGCTTTTGGCTTGTTGTGGGCATCCATGTATGGTATAGTAATGTTCAGTGTCATCAGACTCCTGCCAGCTGTGTTATGCACCCACGGTGTGGAATGTGCCAAGATGAGTGGTTGAAGATGTTGATGTGATAAGTGCCACTTCAGGAACAATGAGTAGTATTGAAATGGTACCCTAACTAAAAAAGTACTAAAATGTATATTTTAGACTAAGCTGCATCAAATATTGATTTTAACTATACTTTTTTTTTTCTTTCATCATTCTTTGGAAATTTTCAGTTTAAGAGTCGATAACAGACACCAGTTTTGGTGATATTAGATCATTTTCTTTGTGATACTAGTTAAGACAGAAATAAACTCATCCTGATTTACTTCTTTGTTTTTGTCATATTTTGTTTGGGTTTTTTTTATCATAGGAACTAAATGCTGATGTGCCTTTCTCACTGTGATTAATAAAGGAATATGATACCTTTTTATACTAAGTAAATAAAAGTAAAACAAAGGACCACCAATTTTGACTGCTTTTCACAGGCACAGAAAAAAATAGTGGAAGGGTTTTTTTCAGGGGTTAACTGATGAACTTTATTTTTTTTCTTGCCAGCTGTCTCTCAGTACTTTATTGCTTTATTTCTCTATTTTCAGTATCTAGTGATGGACTACTATGTTGGTGGTGACTTGCTGACACTTCTCAGTAAGTTTGAAGACAAGCTTCCTGAAGATATGGCTAGGTTCTACATTGGTGAAATGGTGCTTGCTATACATTCCATACATGAGCTGCATTATGTGCACAGGTAAAATACCTTCTCATTTGGCAAAATATACAGGTACAGTTATTTGAAGTTAATCCCAAATTTACTGCTATGTATACAAATGCACACAGTAGCCAAAAGCAATCTACTATAGATACATGTTTACTTTATGCTGTATAATAGCTGTATAAGCTACTTTATTTTAAATATCAAGTTTTGATGGATTGGTATCAGAAGCAGTGACATTTATCTGACTAACCTTTTAAAGTCTGTTCTATTTTTAATCAGGGCTCTTGACTTATTCTCAATTCACTTAATAAATATTTATCTGCCTTTGTCCAAGCAACCTAGAAGTTTGAAGCAGTTTGAAATGGTTTGAACTTTCTACAGAGGTGTAGACATTCTGCAAAATTTATGCACAGTAAGCCCATGATAACATCAGTGCATCTACTTACCTGAGATTATCCTCAAGCAGGTTTTCTAATCAGGGGGCATATGCTGGTCTAATTGTTTTTGCACACAAGATGTGGATTCTGAATCACTGGCTACCATCAAGTAAACTTAGGTTGTGGTGGGTAGTAGCTGTACAGTTAAAGTTCAAAAAGCATAAGGGATTCTCAGTTATAATGCAAACTCTTCTGTTTGCATTTTGATTGCTGTTTTAAAAATTGAAAAGATGTTTAAACTCTCTAAAAACTCTTGTGAGTGAATGTGGACAATATTTGGGGATTTAAAAATGTTACAGCCTCAGAGAAGTTCACTAGAGGCACCATTGCACCAATTTCCAAGGAAATTACTGAGCAGCTACATCTTTCCCAGGGCTGAATGCAGGTCTGTTGTGGCAATAGGAGTGTGTGGCTCTGTGGCCAAAACACGTGCTTTGAACAGGACGTGTGCCAGTGCCAAGAAATTACTGCTTGGCAACTGGAATGGATGAGGAGGAAGCATGATTGCTCTGGAGAGGGTTTCAAGGACCCTTTAAGGGCTTATATGACCTGTTAGCTGCAGATAGGAGACAGTGGAGCTCAGAGAGGGGGCATTAAGCCTTTCTGAGCAGCAGTGCTGGTCCCTGAGGCAAGTGAGAGCTGCATGCCAAGCAGAGATTGGCTCCTGCTGCAAGTGCCACTGTGAGCAGTGTTCTTTAAAAAACAAACAAATCAGTGTATAGTCTTATATTAGTTTTTATAGTACCCTGCAACTACTGAGCTTGACTTGTGGTTGTGGAATGTTGACAATGTCTGGAACTGAAATGTATGGAATAAGTTTAACAATGCAGAATTACTAATTATTTTTTGGGGAAGCACAGTGACATAGTCCAATCTTCTCAGCACATATTTTTGTGTATTATGACAAGTAAATACACATTTAACATTTAAATTCATGTAGACAGGCATAGATTAGCATTTATTATTTTGTATTAATACTGCTAATGAGCAGCGGTATTACTGACATTTCAGTAATTAATTTCAGAGCATTAGCCCTTGGTTAAAAAAGGTTAATTCAAGTTTGTGTTGGAAAAATGTATCAAGTTGGCAGGCTTTTTACACATATGAGGACCCTTTGTTAAATCTGTCACAGTTTTTCTCACAAATGTCAAGTGTGAAATTGGAATTCAGCACCTTAAAACTCAGCCATTGTCAGCTTCCACATCTATGTAGCAAGGTGTATTAGAGCACCTTATTTTTGTTTACTCCTGGTAATTCTAGTCTCCTTCTCAAAGATTAAACTGAAGGTGTTGTGGAGTTTTTAAGTTTTTCAGCACATGTAGTAGCATTTGGGACTTCACATTTGAAAAGAAATGCAGATTTTAGGGTGCAACAGAACTGGTGGCTTTAAGGTTGGTTGGGGGGGAGAGAGTCATAAATAGTACCAAAAAGAGTTTACATCATTGGATAAGATTCTATGTTATTTTGATGCAAGATTAATCTCTACAAGCAGAGCTAATACTGTATGTTTAAATGCTTTCACTTCTATCTGTTATAACAGGGATATAAAGCCTGATAATGTTCTTTTGGACATGAATGGCCACATACGACTGGCAGACTTTGGGTCCTGTCTGAAAATGAGTGAAGATGGCACAGTATGTATGAAGCTCCATTTATTTGGGTTGCTGATAGTGGGACCTTCTAAGTGAGTTGCTGGTTTTAAAGAGATTAGACATCATCAGGGATGTGACAGATTGTGAACTTTCTGACACACTAAAAATTGAGGCTGCAGTATAACTCAACATACTTAAATGAGTTTTTGAAGTCTTCATCTCCTTATTTTACAAGCTGCTAACTTTTCAAGTTATCCTTTGCTGTATTTTTCTGGTTTTCACTTTTTCTACTCATGACCATTTGAGTCCAAGGGGGTAGGATGAGTCACCATCCCTGTAGGTATCAAAAAGATGTGGATGTGGTACTTGGGCACACAATTTAGGTGGACTTGCCAGTGCTCAGTTAACAGCTGAACCTAATGATCTTAAAGGTCTTTTCCAACCTAAATGATTGTCTTGAGTCTACAATTAATAAGAAGTTTGTTTTATATGCCTTTGACAAATGGAACAGCAACATGATGGTAATTGGCCATCTTGTGCAGCAGATTGGATTTACCTCTAAAAGCTGAATTGCTTGTGACAGGTTTTGTTTGTTTTGACTAATTTAGGGCATTTCCAGGGGTGCCAGTCCTGCCAAAGTATGGCATCGTTCACTGGTTTTGGCACAAACTCACATCTTGTTGATGTTCTTTAGTCATAAAATGTCTGTCAAAGCTTTACCATAAAAATGTAAATGAAAGAGCCATTAGAATTGAGAACATATTCCTAGGGATTAGTCTGCCCTGATGGTGAGGGCTTCCCTAGTACTTGTGCACAGAATAATTTCTCCACCTTATTCCTGTAGTAAATCCAGTTGCACATTAGGCAAGAAACATTTGACTGATTTCTGACATATTAAACCTTACCCAGGAAATTTGTTCTATGATCTTCAAATGAAACTATAAAATTCAGGGGTAGGACCTGATCTCCCTACTTACTCATTTTTCATTTCAAGTTCTGGGCAGCAAATTGCAGTTTCAAAATATAAACCAACACAAAGGAAAAATATATTTTGTCTTTCTGCTTTCACAGTATTATTTCGCTGTGATTATTTTGGGTTTCCACTCTGTTCAGAATCAAACATATCAAGTGATTTTATGTAGCAGTAGAATGGAACTTAATCTTTGCAGTCTTTGTTACTTTCTTAATATTTCCTTTGTTATGTTGCTGTGAATTTATGAATCTCTTCCTTTTCCAGAACCGTGTCGTGGTGTCTCTGTCAGAAATACTAGAGTTTGAGTAAAACAGTTGCTGAGAGAAACTGAAAACTTAAGAGAATTATGTTTGTCTTATTTTTAAGGTACAGTCATCAGTAGCAGTGGGTACTCCTGACTACATCTCTCCTGAGATACTGCAAGCAATGGAAGATGGAATGGGGAAATATGGGCCTGAGTGTGACTGGTGGTCACTGGGTGTCTGCATGTATGAAATGCTCTATGGTGAAACACCCTTCTATGCAGAGTCACTGGTGGAAACCTATGGGAAGATTATGAATCATGAAGTAAGAGCTGTATTAAATCTCTTGTGTTCTGAGTTTATGTTTACAGAGAAACTTATTACTTAAGGATATTGAAGTGATGGTAGTTGTTTGCTTTTTCACAGTGTTTTAGATTGATATGTAGGTTTGTTGGTTCAGGTTTTAGGAAGCTTGCTTCTCTGAAATGAAGAAATTTAATTATTTGACAAATTAAAATTTTTCTCTAAATGCTGATTTTCTTGTTGGAAATCTAAGCAGTCATCACAAATCAAAATTAAAATCTACTCCAGTTTCTTCAGTCTAGAGTAATTTCAGTTGTAAGTGGTAATTACAATTTTTAGATGTTATGTTTGTTTATGAATAGAAATATTTTCTAAATGTAGATTATATTTTGGTAAGAAATACAGGTATTTAACCTATATATTTGAAAAATACATTCTTAAATATGATAACATAAATAACTGACTAACATCATGGGGTTTTAAGGGTTGAAATTAATTTAATCTTGAGGAGTACATCTCCAGGAGATCAGTGGACCTCTGACTAAGAATACCAGTCTGTCTTTATTTTATGATCTTTAATATATCGTAGTGTGCAAAAATCCTGGTGTGTCTTAAAAAAATTTGCTTTTCCTAACTGTGTTATTGTAATCACAGATCAAACAGATCTGTTTTAAAGAAATTGAAAAATTATTTATTGTACTTGAAATCCAATCTAAAATAAAAAGTCTGTCATTGAATGTGTTGAATTGTACTCTGTCATTGCTCACTGTAACTAAAACAATATTTGACTAATAATTAACTATTAATTTCATTTTATTGGTGTAGTTCAATGTTTTTTTTGAAACTACAATTGTAAGTTTTGGAATTAGTTCCTTCTCTAAAACTTTCTGTTTGTTTTGTTTTCTAGGAACGATTTCAGTTTCCATCCCATGTTACAGACGTATCTGAAGAAGCAAAAGATCTTATTCAGAGACTTATCTGCAGCAGAGAGCGTAGGCTGGGACAAAATGGAATAGAGGATTTTAAATCTCATGCATTTTTTGAAGGACTTAATTGGGACAACATCCGAAACCTAGAAGCACCTTACATTCCAGAAGTCAGCAGTCCTTCTGACACCTCAAACTTTGATGTAGATGATGATGTACTAAGAAATCCAGTGAGTCTTTGTTTTTAGATATTACTAATGGAAGTATGCATCCTTGCTGCACTGTAAGGTAGTAGTGAGAATTTACTTCAAAATAAAGAAAGAGATTAAAAATAAGTCACTCCAAAGGTGAAAAATTCAAGTTTTTAATCTCTTGGCATTTTGTGTTATCAGAAATCATGAGCTGCTTTTTTAAGTGGTAGCATTTGCCAGACTGTATTACTGTTACATGGTCAAAGTTAAAACATGTTTAGGTAGGGAAAAAAGCCTCTTAGCTGCCCTTTCAGTTTACCCTAACAGGGAGCCTGTATTTGGATTTATGCTTTTGTAAAGGTGAAAAAAAAAAAAATAATCTGTCTTTACAAATACACATGTATTCTCTGTGTAGCTTGCAAGCACAGCTGTCCAAGTGAGAGGACTCATCCTGCTATTTCTCCACTGACTTAAGAAGCAGGAGGATGGTTTTTGGAGTAAGGGAACATTGGTGTTGCACACCCCATTTCTGTTTCTTCTAGTTTACAAATGGTTCAGGAGGAGTAGAGAGCTTTTGTGGTAATTTTTTCACTGGTTTGTATTCCAAGAAATTAGGAGCTTTTGGCACGTTTTTTGATTGCATGTCTGACAGTAACTAAAACACTAAGACTAACAGCCTGCATTTTGGTGCCAGGTCACTTTTAATTAGGAACTTGAAATTTTGGGTTTCCTTTTACTGGCTGCATTGTGCTTTGAACTTGTTGAAATGCTGCCCTTTCAAGTGCCAGTTCAAGAGGCTCTGAAATTCAAGTCGTTCTATTAGGCGACCTGATCTGAAATAAAGCTTGTCCAGGGGCAGTGGAGCATAACTGCCAATTGTCACTTGGTGTATTAAGAAAAATCTTTCCATTAGCTGTCTCTCTTTTAGCTGTTGAGGCTCAATGAAATGCCTTTCACTCTGTATGGGTTCTCTCTTGGGTTTTCATGCACATTGTTTTCATGCAGGAAGTGGTGCCACCAAGTTCTCATACAGGCTTTTCTGGATTGCATTTGCCATTCGTTGGGTTTACATACACAACTGACAGGTAAGCAAAGGATACGTTTTATATAGGAAACTTGTTTCCCAAATGCAGCTAATTCCTGGGAATTCTCATTTTTATAAACATATAGAAAGGTTGATATCCATAGGTATACATGCAGCCCAAATTTTATTCCTTGTTTATTTTTTTCAAATTTCATGAACATATTTTGATCCTGTTTGCCAAGATTAGGTGCTTTTTTATTTAATATTTTATGTATTTGAAATGAAAGAAAGTTAAGGGATTAGATGTGTGAATTGCAGTTCCTTCATTGAGAGGCTGAGAGCAAGTCTTGTCCACACTGGACATGTGCCAGGAACTGTTCAGGATTATCTCATTGCTCCACTGTCCTGCTGGGAGACCAAGTTAACATAGAGGGTTCTGAGCATGGACAAAGTGGCTCAATTTGCATGTCTTTGAATGGCCTCCATCTGACTTCAGAGAACTTCCAAACATATGTTTGTCTCTGATCTTAGAATATTCTGACCTATTTGTTATTCCATTATTTCTCTTTGCTGGGATTTGTTACCCCATGAACCCAAAACATGTGTGTCATTCTTTTCACAGTGAAACATTAACTTAAATCCATCTTTGCCATACTTTAAACTAAACTTTTGGGATTGTCCCTCAGGTATCTCAGTGCAGGTACACTTACCTGCTTCCATTTCTGCCAGGTACTTGTAACCTTTGGCATGGGAGAGTTAACATTTTCAGTCATTTAGGCAGTTTGTGAAGTCAAGGTATATCTTCATTGTTGAAGTTCTGCATGCAGGTATCTTAATTCTACAGCAGCATGCACAGTAGCTAGGGAGTAATAACTTTACCCTGAGAATTGTCTCTACAGTAACAATTACTGCACTAATTGTACTTGTAAATTTAAGATGCATATTTGGTGGAATCCCAGCATGTCCCAGCTATAGACTGCTGTGAGTATTTATTAAAATGTCCTAACTTATGTATTTCTTTTCAGCTCTTTATCTGATAGAGGCACTTTAAAGAGTGTGCTGCAGTCTGACACTGTAACCAAAGACACGGATGTACAGCGAGACTTAAAGAACACTTCACAAATAGAAGGCTATGAAAAGAAAATACGGAAATTAGAGCAAGAAAAGCAGGATTTGAACAGAAAACTGCAAGGTTGGTGGTTTATTTTTGTTTGGATTCTTAGTTCTGCTCATTGGAATATATTCTATTGAAAATCTTTTCCTTTCTGTTTGGATTTTAAGAATCTGCACAGACAGTGCAGAACCTCCAAGGTCCAGTGTGTGTTACAGCAAATACAAGCCGTGATAAGGAGATTAAAAAACTAAATGAAGAAATTGAACGGTTGAAGAACAAATTAACAGGTAAGCCTCTGGCATGGTAATTATAGTAATGCAATTTATTTTGCAATAAGTAGAATTAATGCTTTTCAGCTGTTTAAAAAACAAAGGGTGTTTTAAAGCCTTGTTCAATATTAAGAGGCATTTCAGTTTTTTCCAGATGAGTGCTTAACTAGTTCTTCCACTTGCTTGGCTTGATAACACATACTAGCATGGGAAGTCCAGAGTGTGATGAATTGTGTGGATGGATTTAATTAAATATTTTGTGTGATTTTTGTTTCCCTAAAAATCTCAGAAGATCCTGTTCTCTTACTCCTCCATTTGGGGAGGAGTGTTGTGTTGGAGAGGTTTTACTTGGAGGCAGGTGTAAGAGACAGGAGATAGAAGTCTGGTTGCTCTTTAGTAACATAAAGGAGTAGATGGGGGATGTGTAATAGTAGTTCACATTTAAATATTTCTGAGCTTCTGCTCCCTTTGTGTTTCTGTGTTTGGTGATGCATTAATTAGGAAGCACTGAGCGCTGCAGAAAAACAAATACTGGCATCTGTCCTGAGGGAAGACTGACTCATCCCTATCACTGAAAATCTGTTGCTTGACAATGCTATTAGTTTATCCATGCAAACCTCCTGTTAGCACCTAATTTTTAAGTAGGAATCAGTGATAAACAAAGTGGTAGTTTTGAATCCTAATGACTTGGCTGAGAGTTTTATAGAGGCCTGTATAGTGTGAGTTCAGATGCTAAGTTGCTGATGCTGACTTTTTTAGAATATCTTTTCCTGATTTCGTTTGACAATATACCCTTTTTGTAGGTGTATGCACTGCAAAAATCAACTCTGTTCTCCTACACAGATTATCTTCCCCAAAAAAAGCTATTTTTGTGTATTCTGAAATTAGGTTTGAGTCACAATAGTTAGATTAATGTTCTGCTTTTGCAAAGGCTTCAGGTTTATCTAGTTCTTCTACCAATGATGTCCTGTTAAATATAAATTCTAACAGTATGTTCTTAAGAAGAAGTGGCATTGGTTCATGTAGGGTGGGAGGAAGTTTGTTCTGAAGTGAGGAAAGGAATAATACTTCAGGCATTATAACAGTGCTTGGGATCCTGAATACTTAGGTCCATTTTCCTGTTCTGCCATAGATACCAGTGGAACTTGAGTGAGACAGTTATCCCCTGTGAAATTTCTTATATATTTGTTTAGTATATTTGTTCTCAAATAGAGAATGGCAATTCATTTTCTTAGAATTGGTAAGACTGAGCAGGAGTATATAAAGGTGGCTGTGTTGGGTGTTTTGCACTTAAAACCAGTAATTTCAAAGCAGATTTGTTTATTTGTTTCTCACTTTGAAAGTAAAGTGAGAACAAGCTGCCAGGAGTATGGTCAGTCAGGTCTCCAGGTTACCTTGTGCAAGATGGTATTTCTTTCCCAAACTATTCATTAGTTCTTATCTAGAAAATAAATGGTCTTTGCTTGTCTTGCTGGATGCACTAATGACTGTTGCCTTTTTGTTGCCTAAGGAAAACTATTTAGGAAACACATTACTAGAACTGGAATTGGAACATTTCAAGTTTATTTTACGATTTTCTAGGGCTAGAAGTTGCATTCCTGAAAAACAAAACAAAGCCTTGTGCTAAGGCTTTTTCCCTTAGAGATCACAATCTTTGGGGCTGAGAAAAATAAAATTATTTTGAGGTATCAATATCCCAAAGTTACTTTAAACAGTCTAAAATGGCGGGAATAGGAAAGAAGTTGATTTTCCAAGCATAGTGATGCCAATTTGCACGAGTAATGTGGCTTGTGTTATTAGTGTTAATTTGGGACCAGTTGCCTTTAATATGTATTTATCTACAGATATAAGTAAACTGGAAGCACAGCTTGCAGATGCAGTGGCTTTTCGACAAGAGCATGAAGACTCCATGCACAAGTTGAAAGGACTAGAAAAGCAGTGCAGAGTACTGAGGCAAGAAAAGGAGGACCTGCATAAGGTACTGATCCAAGGATAGATACTTTTTTTAATGGTTATGTAAAGTAGTTCTAGAACAGTTACGTTGTGATTGCAATTTCAGTGTTTTAAATGCTGCTTTTTAAAACGATGCAGAGATGTTAGGGAACCTGTTCAGCAGTACAGTAGCTTTCCAAAATATCACACTTTTATTTTTTGGAAGTTGATGGGCTTACTATTTCAAATGTGTTCTGCTAGATTAAACAAACACCTAAAGAATGGTTTTAATTAAGCTGTTTAATTATTCTTAACTGTTTGAGTGGAAGTCTGAGGCAATCAAGAGAGACTTCAGAGCCTTGGGATGACTTGTTAAGGGATCAGGAGCACAAGTATTATTCTCCTCTATTCTTCCAGTTTCAGGGAATGATGAGGGAGGAAAACAGCCCCAGCAGATACCTGGCTGGTATCTCTGGCAGAATTAGGGGGTTTTGACTGTAGGTCAGTTCACATGACACCAGGGCCTGCTGGTGACATTTGGGGTACACCTGCCTATTTAGGGGAAAAGAATCTTTGCACAGAAGTTAGCAGAGCTCATGGAAAGAGCCCATTTACTCTTTCTTTATACCAAAAGGTTAATTATTGCTCAAGGTTAATGATGACTTCTATGTAATCATTGAGTTTATTTGCTGCTGTATAAATTATCCCTTTGTTTGCTTCCTGAAATTTAGCAGTATTTCATTTTTAAGTCAGCAACATATTTTGTAGTAAAGTAAATAGGGATTTGCATATACTACCTACCACTTTCAATAATAGTAAAAAAAGCTACCTATGTTGGAATAACTAGTTTTGCAAAAGTCTACCAGCCATATTGTTCCTGAGCATTCATATGGATCCAAAAGCAATGCATGGGCCAGAATTTCTGGGCTGTTTCTACACTAGAATTTAACAGTCTCTCTTCGGTCTGTTAACCAGTGGTAGGGATTATTTGCCAGAGTGTATAAGTAGCAGAGAAGGTGGATCTTCTGGTCTGAGTACCTGCTTTTTGGGAATTTAATCTTCCTGTAATGCTCCTACTGATGGCAGAAATTTTTAGAATTCCCTTCCACAGTATACATTTATTTTGTTGTGTCATTCTGCTCTTTTTCTTATTTTTTCCTCCAACTCTCAAATGATTTTATGTCAAACATTCCATTTGTATTTTGATCCCATTAATTTTTGTGAACTACTTTCTGTAAAGAAAATAGTTTTTATACTTTCAGTTAAAGTATTAAGGGTTTCAAAATTTGTTTTAAGGAATTTTCCTCAGTTTTCTGAAAAATCTCACATTTGCTGGAGCCCCTCAGTGCTGGTACAATGTATTTGATGTTGCTCCTGATTTCCTGTCTTCTGAAGCATTCCTTTAAACAAGATTTCAAATGTGCAGGTACATGGTGGTAATGTAAAATCAAATTATTTGGAAGTGAGGTGACCTTGTGTGGTCACATTTATAAGAAAGACTTCTGGGATACCAAAGGTATCTTTGGAGCTGACACACTAGAAGCAGAGTAATAGCTGTCTTTGTATGTCACTGCAGCTGCCTAGCTAAACAATTGTGTAAATTGAGAATTAGAAATCTTTAGTAGTTACATGGGGTGGTCAAAACAAGCTTATGTAGGTCCAGTTTCTTCTTGGAAAGAATATATGGAGTTCAAATTACTCTTTTTTTTTTTTTTCTTTTTGAAACCAGCAACTTGTAGAAGCCTCAGAGAGATTAAAGATGCAGTCCAAAGAGCTGAGGGATGCCCACCAACAAAGGAAGCTGGCTGTGCAGGAGTTCTCTGAGCTCAGTGAGAGGATGGGGGACCTGCGCTCCCAAAAGCAGAAGCTGTCCCGGCAACTCCGCGACAAAGAGGAGGAGCTGGAAGTGAGCATGCAGAGAATCGACGCTCTGCGCCAGGACGTCCGAAAATCTGAGAAGCTGAGAAAAGAGGTAGCTTGATAAAACAGCTAGCACTCATGTGTTGCAGCTGCTGCTTACCCAGAATCTCCTGTGTGATTGTATGGAAAAATTGGGAGTGTCTTCTGGGAGTTTTTGCGGGGTTTTTATTTGCACTCAGACTGATTTGAATCTTGAGGAAAGTATTCTTGCTGTATGCCCAGTTTATTAGTGCTGGTGTTTGGATTCTTGTAGAGGCTTGACTCATAGTCAGCTTGAAACCTATAAAGCTCAGTGAATGTCTTCATGTGCTCTGAGGTTGGAGTATTCTGACTTCACTGTTTTTTTAACTGAATGTTTCTCTTCAGCTGAAATGAGGAAAGTGATACAAAACTAAATATGTGGTTTTCCTTCCTCTGTATTTAAGTCATTGTAAGAGTAATATCTTTAAGCAAGCTAATTTCCAATTAGTATTCTAGGCAATTTATAATTTTACATGAGATGAAGTGGATAGCCAGAAGAGAATATAAGAAAAATTTCTGTGGTTAATCTGGAGTGTTTTAATCACTGAAAAATCATAATGTTTTCTGCATGCTCTGGGTGAAAGAGAAGAGAAATTCAATAGCTCTATAGGCTAGGAAACTTCTGGCAAATTGAAGGGTAGTCTATGAAAATGTAGTAGATGATGAAGTTTCTAAAGCCTTTCTCCATGAACAAGATATGATAGTCAACTAGGAATTGATGAATTGGTGTGGCATCTCATCTCTACAGCAGAGTGCAGCAGGCATTCAAGTGTTGTTGCTAATGCAGTTAAATACTTTCATGCAGAGCTTTAAAAATCTCCTGTCTTTGTTCTTAAAAATTCCTCTGTACTCCCTTTCATAACAGTTGTATCAATCTTCTATTCAGTGCACAGTCTAGAAGTTCATTATCTTGTCCCACAGTTCTAAGTACAATCCTTTTAAAAACAGCTTTGCTAGTTTAATTTGAACATAGAAAAACAAATCTTACTTTTCTTGTCAGGGTATGAAACTGTGCTGCTATTGCTTCAATTCCAGCAGTTGCCTTAGTTGCCACTAAATCTAAATTGTCTTTCTGATAAGCTTTCTGAAGTCAATAAATGGATGATCAAGCTTATTTTGTTCCATAATTGCAAAGTAAAAATATTCAGTGTTCATATTTAAAGTGTTTTGCAGTAATTTGGTTTAAAGGTTGATATTTTTAAGCTGCCTTACTTAGATACTGAGCCATGGAGCTGACCTGTAAATGTGGGAGACTTTTCTCTTTCTCAGCTGCAGTGTCTTTCTAGTGCCATTTCCTTCTCTTTTCTGTAATAGAAGCTGTGCAGTTATCCCTGAATGAGCTTGATGTGGTTCACATCAGTACAAAGAGTCATAAAATAATAGTTCTCTGCATGTGACAGATGGATGCCTGAATCACTGAAGGCAAAACAATTATCATGACATTCTGAGATGGTTGTTATAGTGGTGTAACTTAAAATAGAAATAAGTAAAACTTGCTGCTAGGCCGTATGGAGGAAAGGAAATGAATGATCCAGATAGTGTTATCTTGTGTTGAAATGACCTAAAATGACTCTTCACAGCTGGAAGCCCAACTTGAAGAAGTCGTAGCAGAAGCATCAAAGGAACGCAAGCTCCGTGAGCACAGTGAAGTTTTCTCCAAACAACTGGAAAATGAACTGGAAGCTCTAAAGGTTACATGGTTTTTGACAAATATTTACTCATGGCCTAGAAGCTGCAATAGTTTGGCTTACTCAACTGTTAATACCAGTGGGAGACTTAAAAACTGCAGCACTACTAGAAATCTGACCTAACCCATGCAGATTTATATGCCTTTTTTGCTTGAAAGCCTTTAATTTCTGGGTACTAATGTCTTGAAAATGCTCAGTTTATATAATTTCTAAGCAGTTAGTAAAGCAATGTGATCCAAATTTGTTACCTCTGCAAGCCATTTCAACCCCTTATTTGGGTCATGTAAGCAGAGCAGTCATTTATAATGCTTGGGGACAGGCACCTTTTAAATCACTCGGTGCCCAAATAAATATTTTTCCAAAATGCCACGAACTGGACAATTCTGACTTTTAAGAATATACTCAAAATATAAAGATCATAGCTTCTCCCTAATGACTTCTCCTCTTGTTTTGCAGTTGAAGCAGGGAGGCCGGGCAGCTGGTGCCACACTGGAACATCAGCAGGAGCTTTCCAAAGTTAAGTCTGAGCTGGAAAAGAAAATCTTATTTTATGAAGAGGAGTTGGTCCGACGAGAAGCATCACATGTTTTGGAAGTAAAAAATGTGAAAAAGGAAGTACATGATTCAGAGAGCCATCAGCTTGCACTCCAGAAAGAGATCATGATATTAAAGGATAAATTAGAGAAAACAAAGCGAGAGAGGTAAGCTTTTGGGCATGCTCCCCTCACTATGGATTTCTTTTTGTTGTGTGTATGTATTGCAATACATGGGTGCCTGTGCAGGCTGCTGTTTCACCCTAACTCTCTTTATTCCTTTTTGAAAATCCTAGTCTACAGGTTCAGCAATGTGACAGTGTGTTTCTATTTCTTGCCCTTCTCTTTAGGCACAGTGAAATGGAGGAAGCAGTAGGAACAATGAAGGAGAAATATGAGCGTGAAAGATCTATGCTCTTGGAAGATAACAAAAAACTAACAACAGAAAATGAGAGGGTAATTATTTCAGGAAGCATATAATTCTTACTTCATTAGTCTCTGATGTTGAAGTAGTCTACTCACTGTTCAGAGCAGGATCTGTGAGTATTCAGGCACTATCTGAATTTTAAAAACTTCATTTTTGCCATATAAATATTAAGATTTGGCTACGTAGTAACTTTAGCATCTTGCTACTCTGCTCTTTGGGGGATTGATTCCCACAATTAAGAGGACACCACCTTGCTGATTCCTCATGAAGGCTGCAAAGAGAGGGAATCATTGACACACAGTGCCTGCCTTCCTGGTGGTTTACAGTTAAACCTTGTTTCTCTCTGACCTCTACACTTGCTTTTTTGTTTTCCTTTGTTTTAAATTATTTTATGTGAACTGATAGTTTCACAAAAAGGAAGCCCATCCAGATAGCCTGGGGTGGTCTTGTTTGTTCAGATTCTAAAGGTGTATAGGCATACACATATATAAAAAGTCTTAAACTGACCTAAGTCAGAAGTGAAATGAATCTCTTGTTTCAGCTCTGCTCCTTCGTGGACAAGCTAACAGCACAGAACAGACAGCTGGAAGATGAGCTCCAAGATCTAGCAGCAAAGAAGGAGTCTGTTGCTCACTGGGAAGCTCAGATTGCAGAAATCATTCAATGGTATGTGCTGGTTAGAAATCCAGACATAGCCACTTTCAACTTCTGAAAAACTGCTTGGATTTTTAAATTTTTTTTAAACATATAACTAGGCCTTGTCTGTGTCTGAGACCAGCAAAAGCATGGTACTTCTGAGTGCTGATTTTGTTAAAATTGCCAGATGCCACTGAAACAAGTACAAAGCAGAGTCAGGGTGTCAACTTTCTTCAGTCTCTACAATGATTGTTAAATAATCCAGTTTGAAATATTTTGATAAATCCAGTGTTAACATATAGAACCTCACTAGCTGTATTAGAGCACTTAGTACTTCCAGTCTTCTTCTCTATATAATTCACTGTTCTAGCAAGCTGTGTGCAAGAATTCCAGTGTGCAAAACAAAAAGGACTGGAAGGTAGCCCTTACAAAAATTGAGAAAGTAATAGGCAGATAATTTTCATATAACAGCAAATCTCTGCAGAACTCTTGCTAATGGAAAAAGGGAGGTTTCAGTTTCCCTAGCAACTGCCACAATCAAGAAAATCAGATAAAAGAAAAATTTAAGGCAGGCAATCTGGGATGTATTCAGTTTTCTGTTGCTGGGAGAGTTTTCCCTGCTCTGTTCATTCCTGTTATGTCCCTAAACCCAGCACAGACACTCTGATAATTTGGTGGTACAGTATTTGGTGCTGTGAGCCATGAAACTGCTAAGTTATGGGTTTTTGTAATTGCACAACAGGGTAAGTGATGAGAAGGATGCTCGTGGCTATCTCCAAGCATTAGCTTCCAAGATGACAGAAGAACTGGAATCACTGAGAAGTTCCAGTCTGGGGTCACGAACACTGGTAAGGAAAAAAGAAACATTCAGGATGTTCTGGGCCTGTCTGAGAAGCTACATTTTTGTACCTAAAGATAATTAATCCTCTGCTCTGCTTTATAGTTTTTAGCTACTGCTTGCATAGCCAACCAGGTAATCTGATGAGAATTTGGTCATTACAGGGGGCAGTTGTTTCATACTAATATCTGCCATCACAGATATTATACACTACAGAGGAGAAAAGAAACAATAACTTAAACCTTCAAAGGGGAGTACATAAATATACCTTACCATGTTATGCACAGTTGAATAATTCCTGTTACAGTGAGACAACAAAGTAAATTTTCTTCTGTGAAAAAATACTGTCTGGCTTATACCAATAGAAACTAGGGACACACAGAGAATTTGGCTTTATTTACATGCAGAACAATGAGACCTTTGTGCCATAATTTTCCCATACAGTAGTAACATGAATTCCCCAAAATTTAATAGAAGAGCTCTCATGAAGGAGTATGGTTTCAAAGAGAAAAACACTTGGATAAGGAAAGGAAGAGCCATTTGCAGCTTGGCATGGGAGCCCACATCCCCACTAATGCCAATCACCAGTCTGCCATCCAGAATCCATCTGCTGCTGGCTTATGCTCATGAAAAATTACTCACCCCTTCCGAACATATGAATATGAGAGAATAAGAGAAAGTTTTATTTCTGTGAGCTGACATTTGTTTGCATCATCAGGAGACTTTATTATAATATGGAGAGGTTTAACAGGAAGAAAGATTGGATCAAATGCAGTTTGCATTTTTATCTTAGCTTCTGCCTGAATAAAGAACACTGTCTATTCTTTATACTATAACTAAGGCAGTTACTCCTCAACATAAAAAGTGCTTCTCAATTTTCATGACTATTATTTACAGGTTCATCCATGACTAGAGAGGTATTCATTTGGGAATTTCAGAAACATAGTCCACACTGAAAAATGTCTAGAAAAGCTCAGAATATTGGCTTTTGGGGTAGTAGGGAGGAATTGCATGGTGTATGCTGGAGTATAGCATATGTTGTATGTATGTAGCATATGTTAGATATATAGTAGCATATATATTATATGCTACTTAGCAAGCATAAGACTTGCTTAGGCAAATGTTCCAGGTATCTTGGGCATCTCAAGACCCAAGATTCTTTCTTCCTTTTTTTCTTCTCATGGTTTTACTACTCTTGGTATGTTTTATGTTAGTATGTTTTACATTAAACATATTGTTTGATATTTGTTGATATTTATCTCATCTTTGAAAGTCCATTATACCACTGTGCAAGTTTTGCACTCAGTTCTAGATTGGACAGTGAAAACTAGTCATTTCCAGTGGGTTCTGTTTGACTTCCATGCTCAGCAATCCAGCATTTTGGTTTCCACCATATTGTGTTAATGGTGTAACCAATAATAAAATTGCTCATTACTTCATTTTTGTGTCATGAACACTGACTATAGACTAATTTTCATGCAGCAGGTAGGCTGTCCATAGCTGATTAAAAGAGCATTCTCTGAACCAGTGTGAAAGCTAATTTATGTCTTTGGGAAGAACAGAAATATCCTTAGACAGTTGTAGTAATACTCAGTAATTTACTGCAACAGGATCCCCTTTGGAAGGTGCGCCGCAGTCAGAAGCTGGACATGTCAGCAAGGCTGGAATTACAGTCAGCCCTTGATGCAGAAATTCGTGCCAAACAACTGGTTCAAGAGGAGCTACGGAAAGTTAAAGATGCAAACATATCTTTGGAAAGGTAATGAGGGGTTTGGTTCTGTTTGGGGATTAATGTGCTGATCTAAACTGCTGATTAGAATAGCAGCAACTTCCTTAAAAAGGCTCCTTGTGCCTGGATATTGGACTCTGTCAGAAGGATCCCATTCTATAGAATATGTATATTTATTACATAGTCAAATGAGGACTGTAAAAATTCCTTCAAGTAAACACTTGACTGCTCTAATAAGTTAAAATCTTGGGCATCTGAGAAAGAAAAAAGGTGTAAGAGCAAATTCAAAACAAATTCACTACCATTTCTTTGACTAACTGGAGAGTTAGACATGTTCTTGGGAATTAAAAGTCAAAGTACTCTTAGAATAATTTTGTTTGGCAGATACTTGCAGGGATAGCTGACGTCTTAAGTACAGTTTTAAATATCTAGTCAAGTAATGAGGTGTCTGTTCAGGGGAAAAGTAAAATTAATCATCCTTAAAAAAAAATCACTTAAAAAACCCCAATGCCCCTCAAAAAACCCCAACATAACCCCCCAAAAATAACAAACAAACAAACAAACAAAAAGGCTTTTTCTGAAAGTCTGAGATGTAGGACCAGAAATTAACAACCTTGTGTACTGGCATTCCTGCCTTTGAGACATTTCAGATTACATTTTGATCATATTTTTTTACTTTAGTAAATTAAAGGAATCAGAAGCAAAAAATAGAGAACTGTTGGAAGAGGTGGAAGGTTTGAAGAAAAAACTGGAAGAAAAATACAGAACAGATTCAGGTAATTAAATTTACTGTGTTCTAACAGAGTTCTAACACAACCTGTGATGTTGCCTTTTAGCTAAGCCTGTTCTGCTTTTGGTTTTAGGTCTCAAACTTCCAGACTTTCAAGATTCCATTTTTGACTATTTCAACACCTCTCCTCTTGCACGTGATTTGACTTTCAGAGTGAGTTATTACATAAAATAACTACAAAACGAGATAACAGAATTATATTTTTAATATGTAAAAATATCTCTTAGGCACTGTATGGCAGATTGGTATCTTGCATATTAGCCAAATCAGCATGGCACAGAATTGGATGCCCAGTAGTTGTCAGTTTGCTTGGCATTTTGTAGAGAAGCTGGCACCTCTGGGAAATATTCTCAGAAGTTCACTTTAATTATTTCTCATTCTAGCGTCTTTGTTTAGGTTAATCTCAAACATTTGCTAGATGAAATATATTCAGAGTTTTTTTGGAAATGCTGGCACACCCTGTTACAAATAAGGAATTAAGTGCTTTGCAGTTGGAAGATGCTGATTATTACAAGGAAAAGTTTTCACACAGTTCAAGGAGTGCTTAAACAGATCTGTAAAATTGTTGGCTCCAGATCTTAATGGAGTGGTTAGAGGAGAAGGAGCTGGGAAGAGAATCAGAGGACCCACAGATGTTGGTATAATAATTTTATCATGACACACCCTGTGATCCTTAGAAAACAAATCATTCAAATCACAGCTCCAAGTAGGCGTTTCACTTTAAATGATTTGTGCATTCCCCCAGGAAGCAGCTGTTAAATGCAACATTGAATCACATTTCCTTACTTCATGAACTCTTGATCCTTGAAGATTTTTCTGGGTTTTTTTTTAAATTTTGTTTTGCAAAGCATAGACAGTTTAGGATAAAACCAAGGGCTTGAACTGAAACAGTCTGTTGATGAAGTGGAGTTAAAGGGGCTCAGGTTAAAACCTCATCAGTCTGGTTAGATTTTCTATCTGAGATGTCTACTCTCTCTTTTTTCTTTTTCTTTTTTTTTTTTTTTATTGTCACTGTTGCTAAAAAGAAAAAAGCCTTTGGACATGCTGTGATATTTTCATACAGTTTGTATATTTACTGTTCCCAGTCACAAAATATCTATGCTGCCTTTCTGTTGAAGCAGGAGGATGTGCTCTATGGGTGGCAAGGAGGGAAGAGAGAGAAGCATGATTCATGCTACTTTCTCAGTACTAGCTTTACCTACTGACCTTGATATTTTAAAACATTGTTTTAAAAAGGACCAGATAGATGTAAAACAGAAACATGTAAAATATCAAGCCCATAACTAAATAAGGTTCCATTTGATGGATCCTGAAATAAATACATATTCTCAACGGAAATGCAGGTGGCATTTTCTGATGAATTACATTAAAATTGCTGATACCGTGCTTAATAACTTACATTAACTTTTTTTTTTTTCACATGTACTTATAAAGATATTTTGTATCATCTGCTTTGGGGTTAATTTAGTTTGAATGAGTTTCATTGGCCATATAAAATTTTATTTAGCTAGTCAACTAATATTCTATCTGAAGTTTTCCTGTGGGTGATAAGCAATCGTTTTTATCCCTCATATCTGTTACAACAAAGGATTCTGTTTCTTCTTCGTCTACATCTTCTCTGCTAGCCTTTTGGGAAGAAGTAAGTTTTTGCTAGTAGTTTTGTGTCCTTATTTTGTTGTGACCTGTCTTAGTAAGAATGGCCCTCTAAAACTAGATATTTTGCTTCCTTAATTTCTCTGTAACTTAATCCACTAAACCTCTTTGAGGCTTACTGTTTTATAGTTTGACTATATAGCTAAAGCTGAATCACACAGTATTTTGAAATTATTCATATTACATAATCATGCAATTTGATCTTAAATGGCCCAGCCCTTCCAATCAATTTGGAACAAAACAAAAATAACAAGTATCTGAACAAATTGAGTGAGCTAACTGGAGATGTCTTCCTGTCTAAACTGGCTGGGAAGTGAGTGATTCATTACTTGTTGCCTTTAGTGCTAATTACATCATTGATGTGAAGTCTAATCTCATGTTTGTTAATCACAGTTTTCATGATGTCCTGAAAGTACAGTAATACAGAATCCTACTTCCACACCCAGCTGCTTTAGCTCTGCAATTGTAGCATACTTCCCCCTTGTGCTGGCAATTAGTAGTTGCTAATTTAAGTGTGAAATTAATAGATAGCTTGTAATGGATGCTAGCTTTAAATGTTAGTGAAATATAAGACACTGTGATTAATTAGACATGATTCTTTTAATGACAGAGGCCAATCATTCTTAAACAATTTTTTAAAAGATTGAGTTTTACTACTTTAAGATTTTTTTCTTGTGGCAGACTTGCTGGCTTCTGTATATTAGAAAAATCCTAGTGTAGTAAGCTACCATGAGAAATCAGCTATTTTAGGGATGATTGCCAAGCTACTCAAACATCATTCCATACCTGCAAGCAAGAGATTAGACACAGCCTTGCTGGGAGAATGCAGCTGTTAGAGCATTTATGCTGTCTACTATGAGATTTTGCATTTCAGTACTTCCAGCTTTTCCATCGGGTGTCAGGGTTTGTTTTGAGGAAAGATCTTTTTTCAGAGTGGATGTTAAATGTATGTGTACTTCATATAGAAATCAGCACCGGGTCTTGTTTCCATTTTGTTGACACAAGGACACTTCATCAGATATGTGGTATCTAATCTAACATGTTTGCTGTCCTTTTGCAGACCAGCTCTATTAGTGAGCAGGAAATGCAGGGTCCCAAGTCAGAGGTTTCACCATCTACTTCAGTTGTAACTGCAGAGCAGCAACAAGAAGTAAGAGACCCGTTATTTTACCCTGAAGAGTAATTCACCAGAAAGTCTCTCTGTCTTGTCCATGATAAATACATACTGCAGCATTCATTATGAAGAAGCAGGATTGAATGCTGCATATTTGCAATGTCTCAGTGTTAATTGCACCTGCTTTGAGGACAGTTGCAAATGAAACCTTTTTGCTGGCTTTGTGTATGTTGATGTACCTCATTTCCATGTTTTCTGTATTGCTGCTTGTTTGTTAGTGTGCAGGCTTTCCTGTGAGTGCTTTAAAACACAATCTGTTTCTATTAAATCAGAATGGCAATGTTTACAATGATTAAATTTTTGATAATTTTCAAAAAAGGAAAAAAAAATCAGAACAATAAGCTTTGCCGCCCCAATCTTAAAACAAATTCTTGCAGCCTTATTTTGCTCAATTACAGTTTCTTGTGATTCAGGAACCAATTCGGCTTCAGAGGATGCCTGCTGCTCCTTCCCCCACCATTCAGTCCATTTCTCTAGCTGTACCAAAGGTAGGGGGACTGTGCTAACCTTATTCTAAAGAAAAAAGGAAAAAAAAATATCATTTATAAATGAGCCCTCTGTGTTTTCTTGTCCTGTTTGGGTTTGTCATGTTTGTGTTTTTGTTAGGTCTGTGTTTTTAATCAAATGCTTCCACATGTACATCAGTGGGTTTTGTTTTGTTGGAGGGGATGACAAAACATGGTTGTAGTTTTGGGTCTGACTGTCTTTTGGAGTTGGAAATAAAACTGTTACTGTTGTCCTGCAGCACCTGCTACAAGATGTACTTACATAAAAAAAGCCTAGGCTTCATAATGTACACACCAATACACTGGAGGGTGGTGGAGGGAGGTGCTTGCATTACTCAAGTCCAGAAAATGAAGTTATTTTTTATCCTGAATGTATCTTTCAGCCTAAAGCTCACCAGCTCAATATCAAGTCGTTCACCAGCCCCACTCAGTGTAGTCATTGCACTTCTCTCATGGTGGGATTAGTTCGACAAGGTTATGCCTGTGACGGTGAGTTGGTGAAACTTTCTGTAAATTTTCAGCAAGCCCCTCACAAAAGCATCCCAATGTATTTTAAGACAACCATTTCTTTGGGGAGGGAATGAAAGAGAGGGGTGGCTGCCACTGGATGATTTTCCTTTCCGTTGCATCACAGCATATTCCTGAAGTCTCTTTAGAAGAATGATGATGTATGATGAAGTGTGGTTTCCTTGCATATTGTATAATATTAATTAATTCTATTACCATTAGTGCAGGGGAGAGAGTAGGGAAGACAGGTCTGGTTTCTTTTGTTGTACTAGAGAAAACTGCAGTAATTATCTGGTGACATAAATCTGATTATGTCTATGCTATTCTGGTCATAAACCCTATATGTTAGGAGGACTGTTTGCTCTATTATTTGGCTTGTAGCCTGTCTTGCTGTCCATTAGTTTTATTTAAAATGCTTTCTCTGATGCATGCATCACTACTGAATTCCATGTTCAAGTATATGGAGGTATTTTCATTTGAAAATACTTTCTGTATATTGATTAGACACATGAACTCAGTTAAATAGGCCATAAATCCATGTAGTATACATACTACAGTATAAATAACTTTATTTCTGTGCCCAGCTTAGTTCTTGCTAGTGGCAGCCTCTCCACTGACACCCTCAGTATCACATGTAGATTGTCTCATCTGCCCTTCAGGGCTTTTTTCCTGGCAGATCTTCTGGTGGCAGTTCTTCCCCAGGAGAGCCTATCACTCTGCCAGCACTTGCCCTGGGGCTGCCTTTTGTCTCCTGTTGCTGACAGTTCTGAGCTCTTGTTTTGCATCTCTTCTTGCAAGCTTGAAACTGTCTTTTTCCTTTAGTGCAGCTAGGGGCTTCACTCTTCTTTTGTCTTGTGTATTTTGATTAAGCTCTGCATCTTTAGTTTTCCTTTTTGCCTAATCTACAGCAGTTCTTGATTGCTACAGAAAAAACTAAAATCACATTGATATAAAAATAGAGATGATTCCAGTAGAACAAAACTTTGCCAAATGTTCCCCTCTCAATCACTTGCATTTCCCAATTCCTCCTCTTTCTAATCCTGGAGACTGTGGATACAGCTACACTTACAGAAGACTGGAATTTACTCTATCCTGTGGATTTTCCCTCTTCTGTAACTGGTGTACCTTGATATCCACAGTCCCAGATAATCATGCTGCCTCCTGAAAGAGCTGAATTTCTTACCTGATCTTGAGGAGCACCTACAGTTCTTTGTGGGTATGACTGTTTGGTATCCCTTGCCCTGCTGGGAGCAGACAGTAGCTCAAAGAACAAGCCAGGCAACGTGATCTGGGCTGCCCCCTCTGCTGTCTCCTCCCTCAGGCAGCATGAGGAGGAGCAGGCTGTTTCCAGGTTTTTTGGAATCCTTTGAAACTTCATAATTACAGAACAAGATGTACCTAGGATATCTGCCAGATTCCCACTTCTGAGAATATGGTTAGGAGGAAGCACAGGACAGCTCAGAGTGTTCGTGCCCCTCTCTTCCTGCCTTCCCAAGCCTCCTGGTAGAAGCAGGGTAGCTGGGACAAACAAAGCAAAATCTCAGTGCAAGGATCTCACCCCTAAGCTGTGGGTCAGATGATATAACACATGAACTCATTCCACAGTTCTTGTAGTCTGTCTCATGTGAAATGGCATGTATTATGAGGTTTTTCTGTGTACTTCTGTGTGAAGTGCTCTGTAGACAAGACCTAGAGACCTTTAGTCCCTTGCTGGTGCAGCACAAAGTGGTGCAAATGGTAAGAAAGCATTCAATGCTCCCTATTTGAACTTACTGGAACTCTGGGCAATAGGCATATATGGCTCTTTCATCATACAGTATTTCAGTCCTTGTCCCTGGTTTCTACTTTATTTATGCTTTATTTATGTCTATAGCTTGTGTTTAATATTTTAACCCTTTCTGGTTTTGGTCAGTTTAGTTTAATTTGTCTTTGCAGTGTTCTTGCGTACTTGGATCAAATTAAACACCTATTAGCACTACCCTAATTTTTATTCCTTCTTTATTAATACTGTTTCTCTTCTGTAACTGGATTAGTTGGTGCTTAACACCAGCAAGGCTGCCCACCTCATTTTCCTTTAAATGTTGACTCAGTTCCTGCCCTTTGTGAATATAATAGGCTAAAAAGAGGAAGTGAAAGCACTTTGGAGAGTCTCATACAATATCTAGGTGTGTTCACTTCTTCAGCATAGTGAGCTAGTGCAATATTTGACTGCCAGTTTCAGTGTGATTAATTAATTTGCTGAGCGTAGACTATTTTAATCACCTCTTATGATTGACTCATACACACATTTCACTGTGAATTTTCTCTTTTGTACTTAGTGTGTTCATTTGCATGCCATGTTTCCTGCAAGGATAGTGCACCTCAGGTCTGCCCTATACCCGCCGAGCAAGCCAAAAGGCCTCTTGGAGTAGATGTGCAAAGAGGAATAGGAACAGCCTACAAAGGTTATGTCAAGGTAACAGTCCTTTCTTCTTGGACAAGAGAAGGATACTTAACTTCACTTACAGCTCTACAGCTTGGAACCTCTATGTTTAAACACATCTCCTAAATATTGCTAAAGCCTTAAGGCTTTGTGTGCCATCTGTGTAACTTATTTAACCTCCATTGCTTTAGATGTGGGAGAAACGCTAGGTTTTACTGCAAGAGCTGAAGGTCAGTAGATTAGTAGCTACAATGTTCATAAGCAGCAGGGGGGAAAAAAAGGAATGGTTTAAGAAAGAATTTCTGTCATTTTTAATGTAAGCATAATACAAAAGTTAAACTGTCCTACCATTTCGGCATTGGTGGAATATCCAAACTTCATATCTTTATACAAGTCTTCATATATTTTTAAGCTGTAAAAAGGGATGGTTGAACTTAAAAGAGGAAAAATGATTGCTTGATTGCTTGGTATTTTTCATCCTGTTTTGAAGGACAAGTAGAATGTGTTCTAATTCCATTGATCTAAGTATAAGCTTTTCTGAACGTCCTGCTTTCTGTGTCTTCTGCATGTGTTTACACATAATAAGCAATCAATTATTTACCTGCAGGTCCCAAAGCCCACAGGAGTTAAGAAAGGGTGGCAGAGGGCTTATGCAGTTGTCTGTGACTGTAAACTGTTCTTATATGATGTGCCTGAAGGAAAATCCACCCAGCCTGGAGTTGTGGCAAGTCAAGTCTTGGATCTCAGGTTTGTATTGTTACAGCAGAGTAGAAATCCTCTCTACTGTTTCTTTAACAGGAGTGTTTATTCCTAGTACACAAGAAATTAGAAGATTTTGAGAGCTGTGGCCTAAGAAGATTCGTGTATTGTGTACCTAAACTGCAGCTGAGTTTAGACTGATCAAGTTGGCTCAACAAGAAATTACTTAAGTGACTTTGCAGTCACACAGTGCAGTCACCAGTATTCACAGTATTGGCATGCTTCTTCCTAGAATTCCATTTGCACCTGTAAAAAGCAAGTGTATATTGGTAGATTGCTTTTCCCATGCACTCTGACCTCAACATTGAGTCACAGATCATCCCATAGCCAATAAGTATTCAGGAATGTTAGAAAAATTGAAGTAGTCTGCAGAAAAGCATCAACTAATTTCCACTGCAAATGGCTCTGACCCTGCCTTTTAACAGGAGTTATTACTTCAAGGGGAACCATCTGAACCAGTGAACACTGTCTGCCAATTATTTGAGACTTAAGTTGATCAGAGTAACCAAGGAAGTTCTTTTATTTCAATTTTTGGAAATATTAAGAAAGTGTAATACCTTTTAATGTTACAGCACCTTTGTACCTGTGTTGAATATAAAGTTTGCATTCACAAGCACATTGATTTCTATTTCTTCCAGACAGCAGTATGGTGGGGTTACAGCAGTAGGGCTGTGCTGGGAGCTGTCAGTGTCAGCTCTCTGACATGCTGGCAGTGGGAGCAGGAACGTGGAAGTATTGCAAATAGCAGCATTCCCATCAGTACATCGCTTGAAGCAACTCAGCCAGATACCATATACCAACTGTGCCATGCTTTATCTGCTTGTTGTAGCTGCCCCTTTGAGGCTGTCATCTGAGGGTTCTCAGATGTTTTTAATAGATGTTAACCACCACAGCTATGAATTCTAGCATGGGCAAGTTTCAGACATTAGTGTCATCTTTGCACTAAAATTGGCAATTATGGTGATCAACGTGGTCAAATTCAGTTTGAAAAGGCTAGTGCAGACAAGCCCTCTGGGGTGGAGCACTCTAAAATGCAAAAGTTGTTCTGATGTCTGTTTATTTTACTGTAATAGAGAATAAAATCTAGCTGTTTTGAAAACCCTTATTTGAAACCCACAAACTATAATTATGTTGCCAAGAGCTTTTTATGTGATTTTTCTTTTTTTCCAAAGGCCCCTCTCTTGCTACACATTGAGGTATGAATTATTCATTTCTAATGTGTCTGCTGGGCTGGAAGAGCAATATTCTTGCTTCTAATTGTAGAATAGGTGTGGTTGGGACACCAAAACTACACAAAGCCACCCTGCTTAGCTTCAGGTGGACTGAGGTACACGTACCAGATGCTGTAGAGACATAACTGAGGCTTGGGAGCTGTTTGGGTTAAGGATGGTTAGAGCATAACAAAGCAGTTGTGACCTCTGTGCGGTGTTAGGAGATTGCAGCCTATTGAAACAGTGGTGATACCAGCTAGATTTTGTTGAATAATCTGTGTGTGTGCTTGTGTGTGATGCTCTTGTTCTCTTTTCTCACTAGAGATGAAGATTTTTGTGTGAGCTCTGTCCTAGCATCAGATGTAATACACGCAACCCGGAAAGACATCCCGTGTATATTCAGGGTATGGCTGTGCACTGACTCCTACAGAAAATACCTGTTCAATACCACTGGTTTGTTTTGATAGTGGCAAATGCTGTCCAGATCTAACATTGATTAGGTTATGTAGAAGTATAAGAATTTACAAGGGCTGCTGACATATGTACAAGAACAATATGGTGCTCCTCTTAGAACTGAACTGTAAAGAACAAAGTGTTTTATTTGGGGGACCCCCGTGGCAGGAAGGAATGGTGAATCTGACCCCATGTTCTCAGAAGGCTAATTTATTATTTTAAGATGCTATGTTATATTAAAGAATACTATACTAAACTATACTAAAGAATAGAGAAAGGATACTTACACAATGCTGAAAAGATAATAATGAAAACTCTCTCCAGACTCTCTCCAGAGTCCCGACACAGCTTGGCACTGATTGGCCAATGAGTGAAAACACTCACACCAGAAACCAAAGAAACAATCACCTCTTGGATAAACAATCTTCAAACACATTCCACATAAGCAAAACAGGGGAGAAACAAATGAGATAATTGTTGTTTTCATTTTCTCTGAGGCTTCTCAGCTTCCCAGGAGAAAAATCCTGGGCAAAGGGATTTTTCAGAAAATATGAATGTGACAACAAAGTTCTCCTTCTTTAGCTGCTTCATTGTATATAAAGTTTGTCACTTTTTTTATTTTCTTGAGTATAATTCAGTATATTTTCTCTCTTTTTCCATTGGTATTACCAGATTCTGTTTTTTCTTGCTTTAGGAACCAGTGCTGTAACAGAATATTCTGAAACTGATCTAGTTCCCTTAATTTCATATTTAAGTATAGGAGAAAAAAATAAAATAAGAGAAAATAATGAACTGAGCTTTAATATCCCCTTTAGTATATGTTCTATCTGAATGCTGTATTTAGTTTTTAACAACAGGAACTTAATTTCTATGTTTTGTGTGAATCATATTAAATCTGGAGTTCTAAAATTTAGAAAAGAATACATTAGTAGCCAGTATCTATAGTCCCTTACATTTGAATGCAGAAACTCATTGTTTTCAGCATCTCTGATCTTCACCCATTTAGAATCAAGTCAGGAAAACATGGAAAGCAAAGAGCTGTCAGTCAGTTGCAGTCCCTATCATTTGGTCCTTCAGGATTTTACTTGGGAATTGTCTTTGCTACTTGCCTGCCTCTGTGTCTCTGCTTTTCTGCTTTTTTTGTAAAAATATTTTCTGCAGTGAATTTTCATACTTTGGTTTACCACTACCTTTACCTTAAGTTTCTTCTTGTTTGTGTTTTGGTTTTTGGGTTTTTTAGTTCCCATCTGCCTGCTCTCTTCTTAAATTAGCAAACATAGAATACTGTAGGGAAGGACATCTGAGGAGAGAAAATATGCTGTGCAGAATGATGGTTCATTCATTTAAGAACAAGGCATCCATACAGTTCAGCCTGCCTGACTTGCTGCTGTAATTTCTGCCTGCAGTTTTTAACTGAAAGGGTATCTAAATAATAAAAATCATTTTTGTCAAATATCCCTCTGTAAAAATACATGTGTGGATATACATTACCAAATATCTCAATGGTTTGATCAGATTATCCCCTGCTAAAGAGATGTGATGAATTAACTGGAAGCTTGATGTGTGAATATATCCATTTAGGTAGGGGACCAGAGAACCTGCAGAGTTACACCTCTTTTCTCAGTTCTGTGTCCTCCTTTAAAAGCAGGATTTCTAAAACTGGAAACCACTAAACCTGATTGGGAGAGTCTCATCTCAATGTTATGTAGTTCTAGATCTGCATCTTGCTGACACAGTCACATAGAGTAGCTTGTACAGAACAGTTTGAACTGTTAATTCACATCATCTGTGTAAAAATGTGGTCCTTCTTTTGTATGTGTCATTGCACATAACACATGGTGATATTGGTAGCCTATGAAAGACAGATTTTCATTTCTTCTGGATATTCTACCAAAAGAAAACAATACCCAGCAAATTCTGTTCTACAAATAGAATGCTGCCAAACACATGTTCCCACCTCTGACTCCCCATGAATTCAAGAAGAGTAAGAATTTGTCTCAGATTCAAACATTTCTCCTTGGTAACCAGTTTTTAAAGCTGGGTGTTAGGCCATGCTGACATTCAGACACCACTGTCTTAAATTCTGCCATTGATTCACATTTCTATTAATAGTGTAGGAGTTGGCTGTAGTGGAGTGCTCCCACAGCTTAGCAGTCCAAGTTAAGAAGCCTTGAGTTTCATAGCAAATAATGGATTTTTATATGATGAATAATGCAATATATATTATGACCAACTGCTCACTTGTTTTCCTTGCATTTGACTATATATAAGTTGCCAGCTTCAAAAGATTGAGGAGTAATAAATACATGGTGGTACTTCAAACAGAAAACCATTGCTGGAATCTGGTTTTGTTTTGTTTTCTAAACATTATCCATTATGCCTCCATCTGTCTTTAAAATATTAATGCTTAGTAACAGTTTAGACAGGAACAAACCTTAATGCAGAATAGTTAGAGCTACGATCAGTTGCAGCTACTCAGCTCTTTCCCTAACTCCCTTCACGTCCACTTTCATATTACTTCTGAACTTCTGTCTTTGACATCCTGTTGTCCCAAGTTTACTTTCAGATTGATTTTATCTTTAAGATGAGTGTTACTGTTTCATTCATTCACACAGGAAGTGTGTGTGTTGCATTACCACAACATCCATCTTTACAGTGATTTTCTTATAACAGCATGTAGGCTGAAAAACTGATATTCCATGTTAACAGTCTTCTGATTTGCACTTTTACACCTTTTGTTGCTTTTTTTCTGTTCAACTGTTGTTACTCAGAGTCTGTGCTGAGGGCTGATCCTGGCTGTTGACCTGTTTGTCTGTGGCTGAAAGTATAGTTCCTATGATACCATAAACCCTTCAGTCTCTTCATGCAGTACAAAACCCCAAAATATTAAGAATTACTGTATGCATTCTTCAGGCAACAGAAGTTCCTGGATAGTTTTTCTATGTAGAGCACATTCTGCTTTGAGATCTATGGGATGATTTAACTGAAAATTAAGTGAAGCCATAGTGATTTTCTTTTAACACAGGGACATGGGAGCATGCAGTTCTTCAGTCTCAAATATTACTTTCCTCCAGAGCTTTGAATGCAGATATGATGTGCTCTTCCCCTGGACAAATATTTGGAAAATTAGATAACAAATTCAGAACTGATGATAGCAATGCCTTTGGGTTTAAATGCATCTGGTTCACAAAGCATGTGTGTCACTCTCAGTAAATTATAGGTGGGTGGGATCAGGACAAACAAGGGTTCAGAGCAGGAAGGAGCCTTTTACTGCCATGTATTGATCATTGTAGCATTCCCTGCCCATATGTTAGGATTCAGACTATTTAAGCAAGGCTGAATACTTTTAAACAAAGCCACCGTGGCTTGTGCAGTGGTTGTGTTTTGGTTGTTTTCTTGAAGCACTGTGGCAGTATTAGCTGTGTTGTATGTGTTTCTTGGGTACATGATTCCATTGCCATGAGAAAGTGTAGTTTATTTTCACAGTTCTGTGTGATAAAAAGGGCTTTTATTACTCTAACTAATTTCACTGTCTCTGTCTGTTTAAAGGTGACAGCTTCTCTCTTAGGTTTGCCTTCAAAGTCTTGTTCTCTACTGATCCTGACGGAAAATGAGAATGAAAAGAGAAAGTGGGTTGGAATCCTAGAAGGGTTGCAGTCTATCCTGCACAAAAACAGGCTGAGGAACCAGGTTGTGCATATTCCACAAGAAGCCTATGACAGTACACTGCCTCTTATTAAAGCAAGTTTAGCTGCTGCTATTGTAGGTATGTTTGATTTAACTTTTATCAGTGTATGAAGGTGGTTGGAACTTTTAGATGGGCTTTTATAATGAGAGCACTGACATCTTGAAATAAATTCCTCAGCTGAATTCCTTGATAGGAATTTAATAATGGGCAAAAAATGCTAATCTTGCATTGATATTCAGGTTTCTTCATCCACTTGGAGTAAATAATACCGTTGAGTTGTTCAGCAGGTTGTTTTAGTAACATGGTACTTAGCATGCTTTTGACAGACTGTGTGAATTCAAGCAAAATTGATTTGCTGGTGAAAATCTGTTTGTGCAGAAATTTTTTCAGCTGTTCAAAACAAACAGCCTGTTTTAAAGATAAGACCAAGCTTAGCTGAATTAATGGCCTTTTTTTCCTCCTTAGATCGAGATAGAATTGCAATTGGCTCAGAAGAAGGACTGTATGTGATAGAGGTGACCCGTGATGGTAAGTCAGGCCATAATGCATGCAGTAATTACATACAAAATAATGAGCTCCATAACTTTTAGTGCTGCTGTAATATAGGTTGCACAACAGCCTTTCATGTACAGTAAGTATTAAGCACTCAGCTAATTGATGAGAAGGAAAAGTGAATGTGAGGTATAAGCACTAATTTGGTCATTATCGCTACATTCAGGTGAGAGGCTGAAATTAAAGGGATGAGTTACTGGGCATATCCTGACACATTCTCACCTTAGCTGTGTTCCCACAGCAGGTATCAGAATGCTTCAGCACTCAGAGCATGCACAACACACACTAAGTTTGTAGACTTCCCTTTGAAACCTCCATCTGTTTCTTCCAGAAATTTGACAACCACTCACATTCTCTTGAAGACCAATGGTGTCCAAAGCAAATTTGTCTTGGGGTGCTGGTCTTGTCAGTGATTTTCTCAATTCCTTATTCTGTGTAATTTAGTTTGTGGCTATTTGAAAGTTGGATTTTACTCATGCTAAAGCTTGCATTTCAATGTAAAATAAAGCAGTGAATATAGGTTTTTAAAGACTTACTTGACTTCCAAAATTAAATTATATCAGGGATCTGGTTTTGGGTCACAAGAAAATTCTTCTTGTTTAGAATAAGACATTGCCCAATTCCAGGAGAAACTGCTTTATACATGGAGACAGCAGATATTTGGAATTCTTTCTAGCAGTAATGAATGCCATTCTTTTGAGTAAACTTCCAGTGGTCACCATTCTTAAAGTACTTAGATATAAACATAACTTGAGATGCAAATAATTCCAGGAATTCTAGTACAGCTTCTTGCATAAAAGAAAGTTGTAAATTTAATTTGAAAGGTCATTTCCTAAAGGAACAGTTATCTGCATCACCATGTTATATGTAAATGGGAAAATTAATTATCAGGTTTGGTTTTAAGTTAAGGGATATTTAGCAGGAGTTTTCTCTGGCCATTCTGTGTGTTAATAGCATTTTTGTAAATCGTAATCTGTTTTTCATTTTATGGCAGTTGTAATTTTTAGTGTTAATTAACTGCCAGCTGTTTATAGCAAAGGTCTTTGGTTAGAATATTGCTTAATTCTTGACAAATAAGCTGGAGTTGGAGCTAAGAAGGAAATTATTTCTCTGTGGCAAAGCCAGTTATTTCCTAGAGCATTTCTTCAGACATTTCATCTATTTATGCAGGTGAGGGTACACCACAACAGCACTTTGTGATTTAAACAGCTGAAGTCTTATTGCCAAGTTTAAAGAATTTGGTAACTTTGGCTACATTACTCAACTGTTACTGAAAAAAGGCAAAGAATTTCCAATGAAGCATTCTCTTTTTTTTTTTTTTTTAACTACAATTCACAAATATTTTTAATTCATTCAGCCAGCAGAAAAATGAAAGTTACAGTTTAATTTTATTGGTTTATGCTTATTAAGTTTCCTAGTTTAGAATTGCTCTCCTGTTTGTACCCCATTAAATACTCACTTCATTCTTGGAAGTTCTTGTATAGCCAAGATCCCCCAAAGAGCACACACTGTACCTAACCCCCTTAGCTGCCTCTAACCCTGCTTTAAAAACATGCATCAAACAGCAAAACTCCCCATGGGTAGCCTGGCTAGTCCTTGTTCTGAAAGGGTTTTCCTGGTGCCTGTGCTGAGCCTCTCTTCCTGCAGCCTAAGCCCATTCCTCTTATCCTTTCCCCATCACAAAGAACATTTTTTCCCCATATGTGTGTTTTACACCCCCTTACTGTACTGCTTTTGTACCTGGCTGAGAGATCTGCCAACAGTACAGCATTTTGTCTCCTCACTTATCAGGATTAAATAAATACTTTATATTTCTTGTGTTTGTTTTCTGCTAATTTGGTCTTCCTCCAAAATTTACTGAAGATGCTGATGTTTCCCTGGAGGTGGGACCCACTTCTGAAGATGCAGCATCTTTCACTGTACAGATGGTACAGATACAATTATATAAAGAAATGTCTTCATTTATCCTACATGTTAAACAGCATTTTCCCACAAAGTGTTGTTGAGATTTTTGTTATGAATAGAGAGGGTTGCAGGAATGCTTTGTTTCATTGTTTGCTCTGAGAATTAATAACAGAGAATCAAACATGTGTAATAAGTGCTCTCCCTCACCTGGTACATGTCTGTGTTTAGATTAATTTTCAGGCATCACTATGTAGCACTGCAGTGTTTCTGGGCCTGGTGATTTTCCTGTTTAACTTATGGCAGCTCTTGTTTCCTTTGCAGTGATAGTCCGAGCTGCTGACTGCAAGAAGGTGTACCAGATAGAGCTTGTTCCCAAAGAAAAAATCATCATCCTCATCTGTGGTCGGAACCATCACGTCCACCTTTACCCCTGGGCCTCTCTGGATGGGTCAGAAGGGAACTTTGACATTAAGCTTGCAGAAACTAAAGGCTGCCAATTGATTACAACTGGAACACTAAAGAAGAGTTCTTCTACTTGTTTGTTTGTGGCTGTCAAACGACAGGTTTTTTGCTATGAAATTCACAGAACTAAACCTTTCCACAAAAAATTCAGTGAAATTCAGGCTCCAGGAATTGTACAGTGGATGACAGTGTTCAAGGACAAGCTCTGTGTTGGCTACCAGTCTGGGTTCTCTCTGTTGACCATCCAGGGAGATGGACAATCTATAAACCTGGTAAATCCTAATGACCCCTCGCTTATCTTCCTCTCCCAGCAGTCTTTTGATGCCCTTTGTGCTGTGGAGCTCAGTAATGAGGAATTCCTGCTTTGCTTCAGCCATATGGGAGTTTACGTCGATTCGCAAGGTCGAAGGTCACGCATGCAGGAACTAATGTGGCCTGCAACTCCTGTTGCCTGTAGTATGTATATGTTTTTCTGTTGCCATATCCCTGTTGCTGCTTTACTTGTCAAAAAAATACTCAGCATTGTATTCAATTTTGCTTCAGTTTGTCTTTGAGTATCAAGTTTAAGTTTTGATGAGTTAACAGACACGTGGTTCTTCCTGGGGGTAGTTTTGGACTTGGAGTTCCTGGATGCTGCAAGAAATGCTCTGCCTTATTATAGGACATAGAAGAATAAATAGTGGAATGCAAAATAATTTTTAGAGAAAGTAGTCCTGGATGCAGGACAGTGTCACCTGTCTATGAAATTCTGTAAAGATTTTTGTTCACCTAGAGAGCATAAATGTCCAGTTGCCTGTAGGGTGTCTTCTCTGTACTGTACTCAAATTACAGTAGAAAGTTGAAGAAGAAATGTAAGTGCAAGTCTGAAGGTTCATAAAGATAGTAAGAGATAAAATTTTTCTCCTTTTGACTTTAATTTTAGGGGGACAATATCCAAAAATAGTATAGGTGGAGGGTAATATTTAAACCACTTAGCTTGTTTCAGGAGCATTGGTTATCAGCTTGGTAGAACGGAGGCACATGCAGAGCATTTTTCAATATTCAGTAGTCAAAGGCAGGTGATGATAAATCTGGTATTTCTATTTGAAGCTCAAATAGCAATTAAAATTTTTTGAATGATTGAAGGCAATAAATAGCTTTTTGTTTAAGTAGTACAGCAAGGAGTTAGGTGGATCAGGCCAGGCCCTAATAGGAATGTGTTTAATTGTATTTGATTTGAACTGAAATTGTTTGCTTACTTTACTCTGACCTAGTTCTGTACAGAAGTCTGAAGCAAAGTCCCAAGAAAACAATGTAGTGGCAAATTTACTTTAAAACACTATTAGCTAAAACTAATGTTTCCTTTCCCTTAATCAGCTTTACAGTTTTTTGCATTTCAGCAAACTAGAGTTGCTAGTTAATGATTTTGTCTGTTATTATTAGAAGTGTTCTTACTGTAAACTATTTTATAACATTCTTGTATGTGCAGTTCTGAGTGGTGCTGGCCTCAGGCTGTTTTTGTAGAAAGAGCAACATTTTCTGCTGCCAAAGGAAATTGAATTACTTCCCTTTTCATTAGACTTGTCCTCACTCCTCAGTCCTGGTATCTGTCACTAGTGATGGTGGGTTTTTTTAACTACCCCATCAGGAGGTTGTAAAATTACAGAATGGTTTGGGTTGGAAGGGATCTTAAAGATCATCCACTTCCAACTCCCCTGCCATGGGCAAGGACACCTTCTATTAAACCAATTTCCTCAAAGCTCCATCCGACCCGACCTTGAACACTAGCATGGATGGAGCAGCTTCTTCCACACCCTCTGTGAGCAACTTGTTCAATACCTCACCACCCTCAGCATAAAGAATTTCTTCCTAATATCTAGTCTAAACCCACTCTCAGTTTAAAGCCATTTCTCCTGTTGTATCACTCCACTGCCTTGTAAAAAGTCCCTCTCCAGCTCCCTTGTAGCCCCTTCAGGCACTGGGAGGTGCTGTGAGGTCTCCCCAGAGTCTTCTCTTCTCCAGGCTGAGAACAGCCCCAGTTCTCTCAGCCAGTCTTCATAGGAGAGACCAACAAAGTGGAAGTGATTCTGCTGTGGTAAACACCATGTTGTAGAGAGGTTTTGGGCTAAAACAGAGAATTTGTGTTTGGGGCAGTCAGTGCCCTCACCCCAGGAGAGGGCAGGGGGAGCACTGGCCCAGCTCTGTTAGCCCAGCTGGGCTGGAGGCTGGAGCCTGGGCCAGCCCAGTGCAGCACTGACACAGCTCTCTGGGAGCCACTTCAGACCTGGGCAGGCCCATCAGCTGTGCCTGGCACGTGCCAGCCTTGGCTGCAGATGGTGTTTCTGCCTGATGCTCCCTTCTCCCTCTTGGTTTGAACATCCACGCCAGCCAAGACCACATGCAATAGATGCTTGACCATAAATCACTTTTGTGTTACATTTTTATGATAGCTGTCCAAGGCATCCTTTTAATGAATTTAAAAAATAGCACCACAACTGTACTTCAGTTCTTCTAAGAAGATTCTGTGATGTGTTTAGTGTCCTACTGGGTTATTTTCATTTTGTTTATTGAAGCATCTTCTCTCTGTTAAATCCCTTAAGTTACTAGTAACTGCTTTTTACATCAGGAAACAGTCTTTACATGAGCAGAAGCATGTTGATACAAAGCTCTAGAGATCTCTGCTTTTCATTTGACCTAAAATAAACTTGTCTGCTGATGCTTTTTATGCTTAAAAAAAAAAAAAGTTGAAAAGAGAAAATGAGTTACGGGCTTTAAGCATTGTGACATTTTTCTGTCGACTTGATGAAAGTAACCCATACATGAATATCTAAAGCTAGAAAATTGTAAGCAAAAGAGGAAGGAAATTGAGAGCAGATCTGCATCATGAGTTCATGACCCAGCTCACAGATGGTGGCTTTCTCATCTCCTCTGCACTCAGCAGATGTATAGTTAGTTTGGTGCTTCTGAAGTAATCCATAGCAAAGCTGGCTGCTCAGTTCCTACCACCTAGCAAATTTGTATGCATGTGAAAACTTCAGATGCCATTTTACAATTTCATGAAATGGCAATGTGAAGTTTTAAAAAATACTGAAAGGGTCAAATTTAAATATTTCCATAATGCTGGTAGTTGTCATCAGCAAATCTATTCTCACCAAAAAATCCGTTTGAAACAGGGGCTTTGAAAATGTGTTTTAAAATGTATCTTGCACATAATGGAAAACTTATAACTGTTTAAATCTGCTCAAATGTTTGTTAGTTCTGCACTACTGAAATGACATTAGGGTTTTCTGTTTGTTTTCAATCAATGCAGGTTGCAATTCTTCATATGTAACAGTGTATAGCGAGTATGGTGTTGATGTGTTTGATGTGAACACTATGGAATGGGTCCAGACTATTGGCCTGCGAAGGGTAAGTAATTTTCTTTGAATATTGCACTTAATTGGGTTACTTTCAAATGAGGTGTTTCTTCAGAGTGTATGCTAGACTTGAGGTAATTCTCTGTCTCCTTCCTCAAAACAGATCAGACCATTAAACATGGATGGCACACTGAACCTCCTTAACTGTGAGCCACCAAGGTTAATATATTTCAAGAACAAGTTCTCAGGTGAGTCCTGAACAAGGGGAGAAATGAGGAATTCGTTCTGACTGGTTAATTTTCATCATGTTACCTTTGCACTAGATGAAATTTGTGTTGAATATGTCTAGGTCAGCCTGTACTCTGTAAGTGAAGTTTCTTTGTGCTCTTACAGCAGGAGCTGGCCTCAGTGTACCAGAAACCTCTGACAACAGCAAGAAGCAAATGCTCCGGACCAGGAGCAAAAGAAGATTCGTATTCAAGGTTCCCGAGGAAGAGCGGTTACAGCAAAGGAGGTAAGAATTTATTTGTAAATTTGTAAAAAATTACTGAATATACATGATGACATGCAGAGACTGGGAATGCTAAGAGTAAAAATCACTTTTTTTTTTAGGGAAATGCTTAGAGACCCTGAGCTAAGGTCAAAGATGATTTCTAACCCAACGAATTTCAACCACGTGGCTCACATGGGACCAGGAGATGGAATGCAGGTCCTCATGGACCTCCCACTGGTAAAATATATTTATAAGGGAGGGATACATATGTGCATTTGTTCTTGCTCACAAAAGCTGTGAAGTTGAGCTGGATGGGCTCAAGTATTATCCCTGTACCGAATTCTTCTTTAAATCCTTTTGAGAAAGGTGAACCTTCCTGCTGTGCAATGCTTCTAAATCCTGTGCAAGGAAATACTGTTAGCTGACTTATGAATGAGACACTGAAAGACAGATATCTCTGCCAGGAGCTTGTTAGCAGTTTTGTATATAATCAATCTCTCCTCCTTCCTTTTTCTTTTTTGTCTTAAAACAACAGAATGGGTTTCCTTTCCCCTCATCCTCTCAACATTCTGCTCTTGGTATCACCCCCAACAGGCTTTGAGCACGTCTATCACATGAGCCCTATCTCTGCTGAAATCTCTCTTCAGAGTGACCATTCCTCACTGCAAGGCTCCCTTCTGCTTTCTTCCTCTTCCTGTCCCTCCTCTGCTTCCCTAGCAAGGGTAGGAGTAGCTGCAAACTGTTAGGAACTGGAATATGGTATGCTTGTGGCACTTCACCAATTCTAGAGCAATAACAAGGGGAAAAAAAACTAATGCTGTAGAGGTAACTAAAATGCATGCGACTTGCAGTGCTTTATAGCATTAATTTTATTTTGTATTTAACTAATACAGCATTTTAATGTTAAATCTACAAGAGGAAGATGTGAAGGTACACTTTTATGTTCTGTATGTACCCTCCATCCTAGGGCTGTTAGTCAGGCTTTCTCTTGTCTTTCTCAGGTAGCCCAGATGTGGGTCAGGCATTTGTCATTTCAGCAGGAGGAGGAAGGAAAGCAGAGCTGTTAGTACAGTCCCTGCCCCTTCATAGAGGGTTTGCTGGCTGACAGGTTCCAGTGGCTGCTATGGGGCTTAGTTCTTTCTCTGTCTTTCTCAGGGTTTGTGTCTGTTACTGAAAATATGTGGATGTGGTCAAGTAAGTTCAGTTTTTCTACCAACACTGGGTTGTAATAGCTTCAAAAGCACCGTAAAGTTTTCATGAGTAACAACTTCTTCTTGGATAGCTTTTGTTGCTGGCTAACAAAGTGTTTCATTTACACTGTAGAGTGTCCTACCTCCTGCCCAGGATGAAAAATCCTGTCCAACTTCAGCCAACCTGTCACGGCAGCAGCAGCAGAGAAACAAAACCTACATCTCATGGCCCTCCTCAAGTAAGGCTGGAACAAGCTGCTCACTTCTGGGCTGTAATCTGTGATGTCTACAGGAGCTGTAAATTGCTTTTTGTCCTTTCCTCTCTGCAGGTGGCAGTGATGTGGGAGCAGCCATGCCTTCCCGAAGTATGTCCGACCCTGACCAGGAGTTTGACAAAGAGGTAAAACAGCTTCTGTACATGGACACCAACAATATCCTGTTAATATAGATTGCTCTCTTTTTCCAATAAATTACATTCCCAAGGAAATACTTCATAGAGATGTTTATGGAGATGTTTTCTTTCCACAAGTGTTTTCCCTAGCAAAGGTTAGATAAGCTAGCACAAAGGCAAAGCTGTGAACAGATCTTCTGATGGTGATATTTTAAGAAATGTAATGTCTTCGATTAAGCTTTATAGGCAACGGAAATTTGACTAATTGATGAAATGTCCTCAAAGCTCCTAAAAATGTTCTCTGGGATATTAGCATAGAATAGCAGAGTAATATGACTAGTTAAGTAATTTTCTGTGCTGCCTTAAGGAAGACTTTTTGTCATGTAACTTGAAAAAGAATCAAATTTATGATACATAAAACTGCTTTTAGCAAGAATAAGAGTATGTGCCAGTAGTCACCAAACTTAAAATGTCTTGGCTCTACAAAACTGATGTTCCTGAATCTAAATAGAGAAGATACATGACTTTGTATCTGTGATTTATCATATCTTTTCTTCTAAGCTTTGCTAAAGCAGTGTCTGTGCAAGGGGAAAGTGTTAGGAATTATTCCTGGGAAGCAAAGTCCCTGATTAAGATATTTTTTAGTGCTTTTTGGTACCCAACTGCAGGCCCATATAATGCTCTGAATCTTGAAGCATGTTTTTGTGAAGCCAGACTTTTGCTGGATGCCTTAGCACACACCAAGTCCAGAGTTCTGATCACACCTGTGGTCTGACTTCCTTTGTAACCTTTAGTTAGCCATTAAAACACATGAAAGTGGGGATCTCTAAACACAGGTATTTTTGGACTGTGTTAGTTATTCTGCTCACCTTTCCCAAACTCCATTATATTCCATGCTCTATTTGTAATTGTTGTTTGTAGGCATGACTAATGATAGATTCGAAAGGGAATTTTTACAACGTTTTCTCTTTTTGGTAGCTCTTACAATTTCTTATGACTTTAAATTTAAAAAAATAGTAGTTTGAAACTGGAAAGAGGCTCTAATAACACCTTTTGGCTTTCTACTATTTCCCCCATGGCTTTTGACTTTATGAACCAGATCATGTAAGGATAATCTTGTTATAGATTATCTTATTTTTCTTGAAGCCATGCAAAATCTTCTGAACAGCATTCTTGAAGGATGTTACCTTTCAATCTATTTGCTAAGTATATATTTATCTTTCTTGGAAATAACTTGCTGCAGTGGTAACAGGCTTTTTTTGTGCAGTATTTCATTAGCTGTGAATCTGTGCAGCGCTCAGAATTGTAACACACCAAAATAGTGGGAAACTTGCCAGCCATCCTGTTGAAGTGAGACCAGCCTGTGAAGGCAAATATCCAAGGGCTAATCTCATACTGGGGAAATAACTGTGGATGGTGTTTATTAGATATTGACATAGGACATACCCACTAAGTGTATTGTCTTTCCAGATCTCCAGCCAGATTCTTGGCAGCCTTCACTCATTTGTCAAGCACTTCACAGGCTTGTTGCTGTTTTGTAAACAGTTCATAATGCTTGTTTCCTTCCTCCTCACCAAACTGAAGATGATTTGACCATAGTTTTTATGTGTTTACATAGCCAGATAAAGCTACTCCTGGGCTATAAAAATTGCCTAAAAATTTCAGGCTGGTAAATTCTGAACAACAGTGTACAGATAGATGTATTCCATCAGGAAAGCTTTGCAGTGGCTAAAGGAGAGGAGCCAGAGATGTAGCAATTTCCACATACTTTACCATAATTCCTGCTGCGTCAGAGGTCGCCTTTGGGACTGCACTAGAGCCTGTTGATGGTAATGGAAGTAATTGCTTGAATGTTTAACCATGGAGTTAATCTAATGCACACTGCTTCCTAGGTGTTGCTGACCCTCATTTTTGAGTGCCTTTGAAAGCTTTTGAGTGTAAAGAATTCACTTCAAGTAAACATAATCCTTTAATGTTTCTCATTAATAGCCGGATTCAGACTCCACCAAACACTCTACTCCATCGAACAGCTCAAATCCAAGTGGTCCCCCAAGTCCCAACTCTCCTCATAGGAATCAGCTTACGCTGGATGGACTGGACCAGTCGACCTGTGACGCGTAACGCTCCCGCCACCGCGGCTCCCGCCACCCGCTGCTCCACGGCGTTCAACTGCAGGGCAGAGCCTCTCAGATGCTAGTGCCAAGACTGACACAGACTCTCTAGTGTTGTACAAGAATAATTATATATCCAGATTGTAGATACAAACTATGGAAATGAAGAAAATTCTTTACTAATAGCGATTGAGCTTTTTATGCAGAATTGTTCACTGCTCGGTTACGGTTGATTCCTTTCTGCACAGCTGTGACAGTTTTATTGCATAGGAGCATTTAAGGCCACCAGTAAATAGTCTTATTCTTATGGTGAAAGAGAAATAGAGTTACTGATAATGTTGCTACAATATCAGGAATATTATTTTTCTATAGAATGATGTAATGTCTGATTAGCAGGAAATCCTTTTAGACAGAATTTGGACTTCTGAATAGGAAATGTGAGCAGGGCTAGTTACATCCTCAGATGAATACACTTTTCCCTTTTTCCTGTAACTGTTTTTTTCCTAAATCTTAAGGAGAATGGTAGGAAGCTGTAGGTCGTTTCCAACATCAGTAGAGTCACCAGGAAGTCAAAGAAGAGCTGGGTATAGTTTTGTGGCCTTTTAATTCATTTAGCCATTACATATACAGCTGCATAACTGTCTTTCTATCTTTCTACCAACTTTTTAGTCTTGTACATAGGACTACTGACAGTTATCTCTTTACCCATTCCCTGCTTTTAGTCCTCATCAGTCATTAGTCAGGGCTTTTAAAATACTGCTGTGAAAAAGATTTTACTCCTAGTTCCTGCCTTTCTCCTCCTGAGAAGTTGTTTCTCCTGGGTTTTTGGTGTAAGGACACACTATGCTGTTAAGCTAGCAAGCCTTCTTGTGGACGCATTGCCCTCGGAGTCTGCTTGACCCAGGGACTGTATCGCACTAAAACATCAGTCTGTTCATTGGTTACCAAAGTGGAACGTGAAGGATGTGTAACTGGGGGTGCTGCTTTTCTCATTAATTGTATCCTCACCTGCATGAAGACCCCATGATTATTAATCAAGTATTGATCATGTAGAAAAATGCACAACACACTCCTGTATATTTTGCGATGGCCCACGTGCGGTGGTGTTTGCGTGTATATTTAATCTCATGCTTCCATGTATTATACATTTAGTACTCAAAGATTTGTGACCATGTTTCATTAAAAGCTTGTAATTAATTCAGTGGCTGGCATATCCAGTTTGTCATTGTCACACTAGTGTGCCTTCTGTGCCAATTTTATGACAGTTGGATGTCACTTATTTAAAATTCAGTTTAAATGGGCTAATGATATACCAATGGCTAATGTTCTTTTCTGAAACACTGTATAGGACGTGCACTTATCTTTAGTTTAAACTGAGTGTTCTAGTCAACATTTAATCCTGTTACGTTAAGTGTTCGACAGTACTTGCTCTTTTTCTCAGATTCTTGATAAAGGGGCTCAGTTAGAGCTGGACACTACTGCTTTGGGGGTTTTCTGGTTTTTACTTTTTTAATGTAAGTCTAAGTCTTTGTAATTATTGAATTGTGAGAACATTTTTGAACAATTTACATGTCAATAAAGCAGAAGAGGGAGGTTTTAAAGTTTATAGTCGTCTGTCTTGACATCTACCACTGACACTTGCTTCAGTCTCATGGTAAATTCACTTTGTTCATATGGACATTTGACATAAACTGGAGGTATTTTGGAGCTCCCAAAGCACTGCAAGAAAGGTGCATACTGCTGAAGGTAAATGAGTGTTCAGGTGCCATGGAAATCCTTTTGGTGGAATACAGTGCTGAAATTTTGTGCCCTTGGTTTTGTTTTAGTGTTGTCATGTCGTTGATTTGCTGACCCTATTAATTCCTTTTTAAATTATTTATATGACTCGTTAGTTACAGCTGAAGCATGGAAAGGAGGCTGCAGGGTCTACTCATGCATTTTAACTATCATAAAACAATAAATATATATCACTTGTCAAAGCAGTACTCCCAAGGAAAGGCTTAGGAACATTTCAAGGATTGGTGTGTGAATGGTGCAGCCCCTCATACAGGGTTTTTTTACAGCTCTCCTCATGCTCTGGTATTTGAGCACTATAGAGCCCACTAGTTAGACAGTGCCAACATCTCCTCTAGGCTGTCCTAGGTAAGCATCCCTCATCCCTTATGGAGTGCCAAGTGTTCCTGAATTGTTCTTGGTTTGTCTCACCCTTCACGGGGAAGGCTGAGCTGGGTGTTTTGGACCCTGCTGTTCTTGCCTGACCAAACCTCCTGGGCAGGCTGGATGGGTTGGCTGGGGAAGGGGCTCCCGCACTCTGTCCTGGGGATGGGGTGATAGCTGACAGGAGATCTGAGGGCTCTGTGCTGGAAACCTTCTCACAAGTATTCATGCTAATCAGCCTTTGACTTTTAAAAAACATTTCTCCTGCTCTTGAGCTGATTTTTCTCTGCACAGTGAGGGCTTGGGATGACAACAAAGTCTTTAATTATGGGGGTATTAAATCATAGCACTCAGCAGTGCCAGGGCTTGGTTATAATTTAAGCAGGAGAACGTTTCTAGAAAAATTAATTAATTGCTCATATGAATACATTATTCTTTTTTTTTTTTTTTCCTGCCTAAGTCTGGCCAAGCAGAATTCCTTCCCAAGTCCTCCACCACAGCCCTTTCCAGATCCTATTTTCCCTTACGGATTTTGATTCTAGTTACCGAAAGAGTCCTCTTGAGCCCCCAGGAAAATCTTCATAAATGCAGGCATTCAGGTGAAATGATTCTCTGACAATGCACTTTCTTATCCCTGGAGGCACCGGTCTAGGACTGAAAGTGAGGAATTGAGCTATGCAAGGAATGAGAGTAATTTGGTGTCTGCCCGTTTCTCTGCTCATTCCATTCTCACAGAGTTATGACATCAGGTCCTGAAGCTGGAGTGGTGATGGAACTCACTGGAACAATTGGTCACTTCTAGCGCAGATCTTTTCCCCAAAAAGCTGAGTATTTTGGAATGCATCCTGCTATCACTTGCCACCCAAGAACTAAACTCATGTGCCACCATCTCTGTCTGCAGAACAGGTGTGGTGGGAATGAGCAGCTTCCTAAACAGGTGCAATCTGCTGGAGACGGGGATGCATAAAAGCTGCCTTTAACTTTGCAGGGTAAGGGCTTAACACAGCTAAGTCACAGGGAGGGGACCCCAGAGTGGAAATGCTGGAGGTGCTGCAGGCACCCTTGTTCTGCACAGCACCAGATTGGCATCCCTAGGAGAAAGCAGATGTGTAAAATCCTTGAGAGCTGGCACTGGTAGCCTGAAGCACTGAGAAGCAGGAAAGTGTTTGAGGGAGGAGATGACTGTGAGAACTGAACTGCACCTTGAGGTGCAGTTAAGAAAAGTGTTAGTGAATGGAAGGTGTATAATGACCAGAAGAACCCTTGTCTTGCTGAGTTTAGCTTATTTTGAACCAAAAAGAACACATGGCATTCTTGCATGCCAGGCTACTGGAGCATCTTGTGTTCCAGTTTGCACCATCTGCTCTGGATGAAGCGGCTCTGGCAGGCAGAAGGGAGGACAGTCCAAAAATCAGTGTTCAGCTGCCCAGCCCTTTCCTTCCCCTGCTGTGGCAGCAGCTCTGCCTGAACTTCTGCCTGCTTGCACCCCTGTAAATGTGGCTCCCCTGTCAGCTTCCCCTCAACATTCTTCCCTGGCAGCCCTGGGCTCCTGGCAGCTCATGGGCTCAAGAGCTGCCACCTTTGCCCAGAGCAGGGCCGCCCCTTCCTGCAGGGTGAGAGCTGCTCTGGTGTCCGGGGCTTGGCTCTGGCAGGGCAGCACATGGGGCTGGAGGGGCTCTGCTTGAGGGGAGGGGGTTCCATGCACACAGGACCACGTCAGGAAGACAGGAGGGAAGGCACGGTGCCAGCACAATCTCAGTGACTCCAAGATGTCCTAAACATGTTTTTGGGAACGGGGGGTGATGATGAGACCAGGTATCAACTGCGGGCCTGGTGTGGGATGCCCAGGGAAGCCAAACGCTGGCAAGAGCAGGTCCCAGCGGTGCCTGATGCTCAGGCCAGCGCTGCCGGCAGGGTTAGCTGAGGACAGGAGCAGAAGACAGCAGGACGTGCTCAGCCAGCGGGAGCTGCAGTGCTGTGCTCCAGCCAGAGGAGGAACATGGACTAAGGAATCAGCCCCTTCCCTGTCCTTGCAGCAAATATTTTCCCTGCTCCCCAATAAGCTGCAGCACTTTTTTGTCATCTGACTGCACAGGTTCATGCAGGCTTATTGATGCTTTCTCATAGATAAAACCCTCAGATTTTTTTCAGCCTCGCCTCCTTTGCTGTTCCTTACGCAGTGCCCGCTCTGCAGTCCCGTGGGGACAGGCAGTGCAGAGCCCTGCATGCTGATGGACACGGCGGAGCTGCCGCCCCGCAGTGCCTTGGCCGGCCCCTGCCAAATGCCCTCCTGCCACTGCTCCCTCCTGCTGAAAGAGATATTAAAAAAACACATTCGTTGAGCCAAGTCTGTCTTTAGGCTCAGGGATATTTTGAGGACTCTGCCACAATCCGGGTTTGTGCACAACTTCTGTGAGCGGCTGTATCGTGCAAAGGGAAGGCGCTGTGCTGTGAGTTGGTGCCCATTAATAGTGTGCAGGTTGCTTTTTCTTTTCACACCCCAGCAAGCAATGACTCCTGACATCTTGCCATTAACAGTAATGCATTTTGAATTAGTCTGTCACAGTGGGGGACCCCTGACACTCAGGACCAGAAGCAAAACAAAGCCATCAGGTGCCCAGACCTGCCGTGCACAGCCTCAGTGACATAAACCACCCATCCAGTGTGCTGCTTACCAAGGATGTCTGCGAATTAAATTCCTTGTTTAGGCAGGATCCCAGGAGACACTTGTGTACCAAACCCCTTTGCTCTGCCCTGCCTGCAGCACGGGCTGCGTGTGTGTGTCGGTGTGCAGCAGTCATGGATACAATCATGGATACAATCACGGATACAGCTGCTCTTCCAGCAGCTCTCGATCCCCAGCATCACAAACTGACTCTGGTGCTTCATTTTGTTTCTGCAGAGCTCCCCCCTCCCTGCGGCACGCTCTGTACAAGTGAGCGAGTGGCTCCTGAAGGAAAAGTACAGACTGTGCTCTGCTCGTGCACTGACAAAAATTGATCTCTGCATTAATTAAAGCCTCTATTGTAAGTGACCTCGAGCTGCTAATGCATTTTAAAAATGAAGCTTCGCCAACAGCAAATTCAAACAAGTAGGGGTGACCAGCTCCTGCCATGGGCTGCTCTGCCTCTCTCCGTGTCGGTGATGTGTCCCAGGAGGGTGTCCGACTCCACAAACACACCCCAGCCTGTGGCTCACCCTCAAATCCCTGTGTGACCAGGGCAGCACACAGAGCTGATGTCCTCAGCCACTTGCAGGGGAACACTATCTTATGTGATGGTCCTGTTGCTAACAGGTTTTCTTTTCTCTCCCTCAGCCCACGGCCATGGGATGCTCTTGCCTTTCCCCTTCTGCACAGGTTGTGGGGATGCAGCCATCGAGACCCCTCCCAATCCTCAGATCACAATTCACATTCACAATGAGGGAGGCCCAAAAACAGCCAGGGAGGGGAGAAATTCACTCTGAGGTGGGGACTCCCTGGGGGTCACCCTTGAGCCCCTTCCTCGTGTGGGCAGTGCTGGTGTGATGGGCTGCCTGGGGCAGTGATTGGGCTGCCTGGTGCAGTGGCGTCCAGCCTGCAGCACTGCATCGGCCTCAGAAAGAAAATTCCTCTGTGTGTGTTTATATTTGAAGGCTTGTGGGCTGGAGTCACCTGCAATGAACTGATGTGAAAGAGGAAAAGAACACAAAAAGGCCCTCACAGCAGAAAGCAGGGACGGAGCTGGTGGAGGATGTGGCTGCCCTCCCAGGCACCATGGTAACACCACAGCTGCTGAGCTGCACAGAGCCCAGGCCATGCAGGGCTGTCCAGTCCTGTGGGGTCAGCAGGAGGCTTGGGCTGGGGATCCCCCTTGGGCTCATCTCACAGGAGTGACTGTGTGTGTTGTGAGTTCTTGGGTACTGTCCCTGGGTCACTGCTCCCCACAGTGAGGCACTGGTTGTAGGACCATGGATGGTGGGGATTGGGTATTCCCCATGGCAGCTGCTGCAGGCTGATGGCTTCCTCTGCTTTTTGACCTGCCTGGTGACCATTTCACCCAGCAACAAGTGCCTGACAGAGGCAGCAGAGACTCCTGCCCAGGCAAGCTGCTTTTTGCCCCTCAGGAGAGGTGAAATCCCAAGGGGGTGTGTGCCCTGAGCACAGGACTGCTCCTGGCTCTGCCCCACTTGCAAATGCACCACAGCACCCAGGAGCTCAGAGAGGCCTTGCTCCCTGCTGGCCTTGTGCTCTTGTCCTGCCTGTTTGCAGAGGGCAGGGCTGCTCCCACCACCACAGGCTGCCTGCTACCTTTTGTCAGGCCTCTGATGCACCTAATATGAATTCCCAGCCCTTTGAGAAGGGATTATGTCTTCCAGAGACTAGAACAAAATATTATAAACTTAAAATAGCTGCTTCCTTATGGAATATGCCAACAAGCCCTACTGAATACTCAGTAGAGTGTAAATTTG